GCCGTGCTTGTGACTTTTTTCCCCTGCTGCCGTGCTCATATTAGTTATCTAACTACAGCTGTATCTTCTTCTTGGTTCTGTTTGTCCGCTTATTATTATATTTTTCTTTTCTCTTACTTAATATCAGTGGGACCATTGTCATTAGGTTTAGGCCTGTTTTGGAACTCCACTTTAAATAAAGCCAAACAACAACAACAACAACAACAACAACAACAACAACAACAACAACAACAACAACAACAGCAACAGCAACAGCAACAGCAACAGCAACAGCAACAGCAACAGCAACAGCAACAGCAACAGCAACAGCAACAGCAACAGCAACAGCAACAGCAACAGCAACAGCAACAGCAACAGCAACAGCAACAGCAACAGCAACAGCAACAGCAACAGCAACAGCAACAGCAACAGCAACAGCAACAGCAACAGCAACAGCAACAGCAACAGCAACAGCAACAGCAACAGCAACAGCAACAGCAACAGCAACAGCAACAGCAACAGCAACAGCAACAGCAACAGCAACAGCAACAGCAACAGCAACAGCAACAGCAACAGCAACAGCAACAGCAACAGCAACAGCAACAGCAACAGCAACAGCAACAGCAACAGCAACAGCAACAGCAACAGCAACAGCAACAGCAACAGCAACAGCAACAGCAACAGCAACAGCAACAGCAACAGCAACAGCAACAGCAACAGCAACAGCAACAGCAACAGCAACAGCAACAGCAACAGCAACAGCAACAGCAACAGCAACAGCAACAGCAACAGCAACAGCAACAGCAACAGCAACAGCAACAGCAACAGCAACAGCAACAGCAACAGCAACAGCAACAGCAACAGCAACAGCAACAGCAACAGCAACAGCAACAGCAACAGCAACAGCAACAGCAACAGCAACAGCAACAGCAACAGCAACAGCAACAGCAACAGCAACAGCAACAGCAACAGCAACAGCAACAGCACCAGCACCAGCACCAGCAGCAGCAGCAGCAGCAGCAGCAGCAGCAGCAGCAGCAGCAGCAGCAGCAGCAGCAGCAGCAGCAGCAGCAGCAGCAGCAGCAGCAGCAGCAGCAGCAGCAGCAGCAGCAGCAGCAGCAGCAGCAGCAGCAGCAGCAGCAGCAGCAGCAGCAGCAGCAGCAGCAGCAGCAGCAGCAGCAGCAGCAGCAGCAGCAGCAGCAGCAGCAGCAGCAGCAGCAGCAGCAGCAGCAGCAGCAGCAGCAGCAGCAGCAGCAGCAGCAGCAGCAGCAGCAGCAGCAGCAGCAGCAGCAGCAGCAGCAGCAGCAGCAGCAGCAGCAGCAGCAGCAGCAGCAGCAGCAGCAGCAGCAGCAGCAGCAGCAGCAGCAGCAGCAGCAGCAGCAGCAGCAGCAGCAGCAGCAGCAGCAGCAGCAGCAGCAGCAGCAGCAGCAGCAGCAGCAGCAGCAGCAGCAGCAGCAGCAGCAGCAGCAGCAGCAGCAGCAGCAGCAGCAGCAGCAGCAGCAGCAGCAGCAGCAGCAGCAGCAGCAGCAGCAGCAGCAGCAGCAGCAGCAGCAGCAGCAGCAGCAGCAGCAGCAGCAGCAGCAGCAGCAGCAGCAGCAGCAGCAGCAGCAGCAGCAGCAGCAGCAGCAGCAGCAGCAGCAGCAGCAGCAGCAGCAGCAGCAGCAGCAGCAGCAGCAGCAGCAGCAGCAGCAGCAGCAGCAGCAGCAGCAGCAGCAGCAGCAGCAGCAGCAGCAGCAGCAGCAGCAGCAGCAGCAGCAGCAGCAGCAGCAGCAGCAGCAGCAGCAGCAGCAGCAGCAGCAGCAGCAGCAGCAGCAGCAGCAGCAGCAGCAGCAGCAGCAGCAGCAGCAGCAGCAGCAGCAGCAGCAGCAGCAGCAGCAGCAGCAGCAGCAGCAGCAGCAGCAGCAGCAGCAGCAGCAGCAGCAGCAGCAGCAGCAGCAGCAGCAGCAGCAGCAGCAGCAGCAGCAGCAGCAGCAGCAGCAGCAGCAGCAGCAGCAGCAGCAGCAGCAGCAGCAGCAGCAGCAGCAGCAGCAGCAGCAGCAGCAGCAGCAGCAGCAGCAGCAGCAGCAGCAGCAGCAGCAGCAGCAGCAGCAGCAGCAGCAGCAGCAGCAGCAGCAGCAGCAGCAGCAACAGCAACAGCAACAGCAACAGCAACAGCAACAGCAACAGCAACAGCAACAGCAACAGCAACAGCAACAGCAACAGCAACAGCAACAGCAACAGCAACAGCAACAGCAACAGCAACAGCAACAGCAACAGCAACAGCAACAGCAACAGCAACAGCAACAACAACAACAACAACAACAACAACAACAACAACAACAACAACAACAACAACAACAACAACAACAACAACAACAACAACAACAACAACAACAACAACAACAACAACAACAACAACAACAACAACAACAACAACAACAACAACAACAACAACAACAACAACAACAACAACAACAACAACAACAACAACAACAACAACAACAACAACAACAACAACAACAACAACAACAACAACAACAACAACAACAACAACAACAACAACAACAACAACAACAACAACAACAACAACAACAACAACAACAACAACAACAACAACAACAACAACAACAACAACAACAACAACAACAACAACAACAACAACAACAACAACAACAACAACAATGGCTATCGTGAGAATAAAGATTTGAACAATCGATAAAGATAACGGTTACGCAGTAACTTTTCAGTCTTCAAGTATCAGGTCGTTGCAAAGTATCTTTCGCAGGCTGTCGCACGTGTACGCAATTTCTGGGCTGTCAACTCGGTCTGGTCACAGTCTTGGTGTGAGAGTATGTATGAATGAGCATGCAAGAGAATGTACATGTGTGCGTTATTCTGAATAGGGTACATTTTTTGAATGAGTACATGTATAGTCAAATATACGGTTAAAACGAGTGCGCAGGCCATTTTACAAATTTTGGTTGATGAAATTATAATTATGGTGGTAAAGACACACCTGGCAATATGGCGGTAAACACACGCCTGCCCACACACGCTCTCTAAGCTGCACAGTTCTGGCACAGAGCTCTGCTTCTCACCACCACCACCGGTGCACCATCAGCTCCGTATGAAGACATCTAATCCAAGAAGAAGATTGCCTGATGAGTCCAGCGGGGACGAAACGTAGATCTACGTCGCAATCGAGCTATGTCGTTGCTGTGTCATCTTCTATGTGCCATGCGCTACTTGATGTACCAGCCTGCTATGTCGGATACCGCCAACCATGCATCGACGAGGCGCCAGGCGCGAACTGATGGTGGTGGTGGTGAGAAGGAGAGCTCTGTGCCAGAACTGTGCAGCTTAGAGAGCGTGTGTGGGCAGGCGTGTGTTTACCGCCATATTGCCAGGTCACCGCAGGTGTGTCTTTACCACCATATTTCATCAACCATAAGTACAGCTGCAGTGGTGTCTTCAACTTCATTTTACAAATTTGTTAAAAAATGACACACCAATTATTTCAATCCTGAGGATACTATGAAAGTAGGACATGATTCAAGACACTTTCCAAAGTGGGATCATTCCCATTTTTGGACACAACGGGCATGAAGGATAGCACTTCCACTTTGGACGTAGCTTGTCTAGAAGTGACTGAAAAAACGTCATTTTACAACCATGTTTAAAAAAAGCCAAATCACCTCGCGCTCGATCGTACTTCATTATTTCACTGTTTGAATTATTTTCTGACTTTTCTTGATTTTCCGTTATTTTTGTGCACTGCGCATGCGTACCAGTACAGTTTGTGTATCGTCATGGCAGCGAGACATCATGTTTTTCCCATATGCATGCACGTACGTGATCTGCTAGTACGCATTTCTTCTTTGGAGCGCTGTGTGAGTGGATTGGATTGGTTTATTGAACGTCGAATAACAAACAGGCAGTGTTGCCTTATATTACATGAGATCGACTAAAGACAAACAGGCACACAAATGTAAGGAAAAGATTAAAAAGAAAAAAAAGAAAATAGAAAAAAGAGTAGGATTTAAGGCAGCAGCTAGCTAGCAGAGGAAAGATTGCATAATTAATTATTTGATCAGTGAGCAACGACACGTAAGTCGGTGAATTTTTCAGGTGGGGTAAGAGAGCGGTCCGGAATTGACCTGGTTTCTTCAGTGATCGTATAGATGCAGGCAACTTATTCCAGAGAGCGGGACATTGATATGAAGGGCTGCGTGTGGCAGCGGCAGATATGATCCTCGGGAAAAGAAGCAGGGGAACATCTGTGCTCCTCGTTCGACGGGTGTGTGACAGAGGTGTGACAAGGTCATGAAGAAGCACGCTACAGTTATTATGAATTACACGAAAGGTTAGCAGGAGGAGTTTGCGGCAATACATTGATTGCAGGGGTTGAATGCTGAGGCGTTCAAAAAGAGGGGCAGTTGGAGACAGGAACGGAGCAGAGCAGACAACACGCACAGCTCGCTTGAGAAGTTTCTCAAGACGATCACGTTGTGCAGAGGAAAGGGAAGAGGAAAAGCTGTTGCATGCGTATTGGAATGTGGGTAAAATTATACATCTCAAGTAGGTTGAGCGGCATGGCAGAGTGACACGTCGCTTTGCGTGCACCATGTACCAGTGCCGTGTCTTCGTTGTTGAGAGTTCTTGAGAAGACGAGCAAGTAACTAACTTACTTACTTAGTTGTCGTTTCGGTTTCTGATGTGCGGTGGAAAGCGTCTCCACGCGTACATTATTACGGCCACAGAGTTTCTAGAAAATAATAATCGCCCATTTTCTAACGACTAGATACACAGTCAAGTACGTGCCTATAGCGCCTGTGGTCGATACGCGTCGTATACCAGGTGTACAATGTTAGTCTTCAGGAGTCGTTGGTAGTCGATAGCAATGTCTTCTCTTCAGTGCAACGGCTGTGGCTCATCGAGCACCGCTCTAAAATTCGTCTCTTGCCTGCACACGCTGTGCGTACCCTGTGTGCAAAATTGTATTTCCTTTGACGGTTCAATCAAATGTCCGAGATGTTTGTCCACCACTCCGCTGCCTATGAGCGTCGAGCCATTGCGATCGCTCCCAAGTGTTGTGGACCGTGAAGATTCTGTGGCGGGAGACGACACGCTTGAGAAACCCATGTGTGAAGAGTGTGGAGATGATACCATCGCCACACGCGGGTGTGAGAACTGCCAGGTGAAAATGTGCGATGCACACTCAACTAGTCATCCATTATTCAAAGCCACCAAGGGACACACCGTCAAGCCATTATCCCAAGTGGAGCGAGCCTCGTCTTCTACAGGATCGACCAGCAGATCTGCTGCTGCACAGCACAGGTGTGTACTGCATACAAGTGAGTTCGTTGATGGATTCTGCGTACAGTGTAACCAGTTGCTGTGTCCAAAGTGCAAACAGGCACATTCACACAAGAAAGATCATCAGGTCTTGGACATTGCCAGCGCTGGTCAAAAGACTCGGGATATGCTAGCAGATAAACTTGCCAGCAGTTCATCAACATGTGATGGGATCATAAGCCAAGCATTGAACAATGTTCAAACAAACATTCGTAAGCTCAATGACCAAACAGAGCTGGCCTCCGCAAAGGTCACTGACTTCTCCAAACGTTTGACGGAAGCAGTTGTGAAGCGTGAGAATGAACTCCTTGCAGAGCTGGATGACATGCGATCTAAGAAGATGCTGTCATTGGAGGAACAACAATACCGACTTCAGGAGTGTGTATCGCAAGAAAAGAGTGCAGCGAATATTGTGCAGTCATTTGCTGACGATGTTGACCTGCTCCGTATATGGACATGGGTCGACGAGTCATTGAACAAAGCAATGCGAACAGCTGAAGTAGATACAGTGCCATGTGTGTCCAGTGGGCTTGTGTTTGGCAGCACTGACATCACACAACTACTGAATGACATTGGCAAGTCTGGTACTGTACTGGATGTAGCTGATCATGCTGTACTGGATTGTCCAGACAAAGCCACGACTCGTGATGATGTCATACTTACTGTTGAGATGACGTCATCACTGACTGCTGCCAGTGCTACCAATACGCCTGCATGCAGTCAGTGTGCAGTGTGAGTCAGGATCAACTGGACAACATCGGACTGGAGATTTCCGTATGCAATCATGGCAATGACGAATTTTCCGCTATGCGCAATTGCTGTGAATCATTACCTGGCCGTGTAGAGATTGGACATGATCGATTGGCAGCTGGTCGCTACTGTGTATCAGCTATGATTGGATACAGACATTTGCAAGGCAGTCCACAGCAACTCATGGTGACATCTACTGCCATTCAGCCACTGTTTGATAACAGTCGATGTCATACGCGGTTGAAGATCACCAATGATGGTCGCACACTGAGTAGTACCAGTGAAGGCTGGTTATCAGCATGTACCACACCTATGATGACTGGTACTGGTAGCAGTACACTGAAGGTGAGGATTGACAAGACTAGTTATGGTGACATCTTCCTCTCTGCCTGTTCATCCAGTAATCCAAACCTGGAACAATACCAACAGGACAAGACACAATGTTTTGGTTGGCACGGCTATGGTGTGAGTAACAAACACACCGGAACAGCCCTTGGTCAACGCTGGCAAACTGGTGACATCATTCATCTCACAGTTGATCATGATCGTCACACTCTCACTGGTAGACACGAGAGAACGGGCGCCACAGAAACCATCCCGAACGTCACAGGTAACCTGTACTGCCGGGATTGTTGCACTCGCTCGGCAGGACCGAGTATCAATTGAGTGATAGTAAATGATTCTTGGTAAGAAAAGTCCACTAATCGAAGAACGAAAACCGATCAAACACCACAAATGGCCAGCAATTGTTCTGCACAGAAGAAAGATCCTCACTTGCTGGCTTACCGTGACACAAATTCCGGCGCCTGTGCCAAACTTTTTGTTATAGCCGTGCTGCTCCTTGCATGTCAGTCCTATCATCTAGACGTATTTCCTGATTCCTCGCTGGGCAATCCGGGGGCCAGTGAAGATTTACTGTCCCAATGACTTCTCGGATTCATTTGGGTTTTTTTACTCCTTTTTTAATATAATAGCTATGAAAAGTATGAATGCCGCAGACATCACCACGTAACATGACACAATCGATTTTCACGCTCCGGGAAGGTGATGGAGCTGATGAGGGTGAAATTCGTAAGAAGTCAGCTGTGTACTTGCATTTGTTATCTCGTCCCGATTGTTTGAGTGTTTATGATGATTCCCACTTCTCTGTACTGTGTCGTGCCCGTTATGTCCAGCAGTTGAAGGTCCTTGAAGCTGTTTGTATTCGTACGCATAACTAAGCGTGGTGGCATGGTTGTTGGTCTTTTTGTTGAATCCAGCTCTAGTTCCGGTGGGACAAATCGACCGCCGCGGGTGCTCTCCACCAACACATACCTCGAAGGAGGAGGGTCAGGGGGAGGCAGAGGTGCTGTCACCACTCGAGGCACAGCCCCATGCAAAGCACCCAGAGGCACAGACTTAGGCACACCCGAGGGCTGCACCAATGGCGGTTCCGCACGCACCTCCAAAGAGCTGCCAAGCTCAAGCCCGTCCAACACAGATGTCAGAGGGGGAGCGGCAGACAGCGGCAAGGAACTATCCTGCCGTGTAGGTGGCTGCAACAACAACACCAGCTTCACATCCAACAACAACACCAGGTTCACATCCAACAACAACAACAACTAATCCACAAAACAAAGCAGCAAATGACAGACCACGGAGATCTACAGCAGATTACAACCGGACCTATGAATTCACGGTAAAAATACAAAGGAAACAATCGGAAAGGACGACGACTGACATGAAGGCAACGGCATTCACGGTTGGCGTGGGTGGTGAAGGTGAGACGCAGGACGATGCAAGTGAGGAGGAGAGTCGAACCGCTGCGGATGACGGAGCAGGTTCTGATTCGGACAGTGAGGGAGAAGGTGAGCTGAGTGAGGGTGAGAGTGAGTGTGAGGGTGTGCGCGTGAGTCGAGATTGTGTGCGTCCGTCTCGTAATAAGTCTTCAGTATACAATCATTTGGTTTCTAGTACTGACTGTTGTCGTACTTATTCTGATTCCTGTTTTTCTGTTTTGTGCCGTGCTCGTCATGGTTATCTTTTGCAGTTACAAGTTTTGGAAGCTGTTTGTCAGCGCATTCATAAGCCGAATTTGTGTGTCCAGAAAGATAGTGTTATTACCCTAAAATTGTTCAAATAATGTTCTTTTGTGTAGTGTGGCAACGTTGTTGCCACTTGTGCCTACATGTGTTTTGTCACCTTCTTGTTTATTATTGTTATTATTATCATTCGTTCTCACTTTTTTGTTTTTGTTGCTGATACACACTTGTCAAGTTGTCACGCTTAGTTCTTACTTGTATACCCTTGTGTTCTGCACGCTTTTGTGAGAAATCGCACCTCGATATTCCAGTGCTGTCATTGTATCGTGTCACCCTACCTTGATTGCTATATTATTTCCTTTGTTCTCATTTTGTTCTTTAGTACAACGGTGATTCCTGAAGAGTGTTGTACGAAAAGTTGTTCGAATCATCTTTTTTTCCATTGCCCTTTTTCTTCTTACATGTATTTTCCTTACCCTTTAGATTGTTTCTTGCATCGTCTCCATCGCTTACATTGTTAATAAAGTAGTCCACATGTCGCTTCAGCTCGTCCTACTTATTGCCATATTAAAATTATTGTCTCCTCGTCGAATTTTTAAATAATAATAATAATTTAATTCTCCCTGCCACGTCGGTATAACTAGTGGTGGGTGCTTTGCCATTTTGCGTAAAATGTGTAAATTAAGCCCCTGAATGGACGACTGAGGAGGGCAGTGAATTGCTTCCGCAGGGCCTTTGGACGACGCCAGGCCGTCTTGCCATCACTAAGTAAAGACAACAATGAAGAACAGTAGGTCACGGAATACACTCTGTGAGAACGAAAACATGGCTGCGATGCTATGCTACCTATCCAATTCTACCGTATGACACAGCCACTAGTTACAAATACAAAAACACGGCTTTGCGGCAGCATACAATGCAGTTGACAGATTAATTTTCATCCACTAGCATTCCTCGAAGTGATATCTATCAACTTCAGAACATTGATGACCGAATATCCCAGTTTGTGATGCCATTTTACAAATTTGTTAAAAATGACACACCAATTATTTGAATCCTGAGAATACTATGAAAGTAGGACATGATTCAAGACACTTTCCAAAGTGGGATCATTCCCATTTTTGGACACAACGGGCATGAAGGATAGCACTTCCACTTGCAACAATTCATTTGAACGTAGCTTGTCTAGAAGTGACTGAAAAAACGTCATTTTACAACCATGTTTAAAAAAAGCCAAATCACCTCGATCGTACTTTCATTATTTCACTGTTTGAATTATTTTCTGACTTTTTTTTTTTTTTTTTGCCAGCTACGCACGAAGCCTCTTATATCTTGTACGGGCAAAATTAATAAACCGATTTCTGACTTTTCTTGATTTTCCGTTATTTTTGTGCACTGCGCATGCGTACCAGTACAGTTTGTGTATCGTCATGGCAGCGAGACATCGCTGTTTTTTCCCATATGCATGCACGTGATCTACTAGTACGCATTTCTTCTTTGGATTGGCGCTGTGTGAGTGACACGTCGCTTTGCGTGCACCATGTACCAGTGCAGTGTCTTCGTTGTTGAGAGTTCTTGAGAAGACGAGCAAGTAACTAACTTACTTAGTTGTCGTTTCGGTTTCTGATGTGCGGTGGAAAGCGTCTCCACGCGTACATTATTACTGCCACAGAGTTTCTAGAAAATAATAATCGCCCGTTTTCTAACGACTAGATACACAGTCAAGTACGTGCCTACAGCGCCTGTGGTCGATACGCGTCGTATACCAGGTGTACAATGTTAGTCTTCAGGAGTCGTTGGTAGTCGATAGCAATGTCTTCTCTTCAGTGCAACGGCTGTGGCTCATCGAGCACCGCTCTAAAATTCGTCTCTTGCCTGCACACGCTGTGCGTACCCTGTGTGCAAAATTGTATTTCCTTTGACGGTTCAATCAAATGTCCGAGATGTTTGTCCACCACTCCGCTGCCTATGAGCGTCGAGCCATTGCGATCGCTCCCAAGTGTTGTGGACCGTGAAGATTCTGTGGCGGGAGACGACACGCTTGAGAAACCCATGTGTGAAGAGTGTGGAGATGATACCATCGCCACACGCGGGTGTGAGAACTGCCAGGTGAAAATGTGCGATGCACACTCAACTAGTCATCCATTATTCAAAGCCACCAAGGGACACACCGTCAAGCCATTATCCCAAGTGGAGCGAGCCTCGTCTTCTACAGGATCGACCAGCAGATCTGCTGCTGCACAGCACAGGTGTGTACTGCATACAAGTGAGTTCGTTGATGGATTCTGCGTACAGTGTAACCAGTTGCTGTGTCCAAAGTGCAAACAGGCACATTCACACAAGAAAGATCATCAGGTCTTGGACATTGCCAGCGCTGGTCAAAAGACTCGGGATATGCTAGCAGATAAACTTGCCAGCAGTTCATCAACATGTGATGGGATCATAAGCCAAGCATTGAACAATGTTCAAACAAACATTCGTAAGCTCAATGACCAAACAGAGCTGGCCTCCGCAAAGGTCACTGACTTCTCCAAACGTTTGACGGAAGCAGTTGTGAAGCGTGAGAATGAACTCCTTGCAGTGCTGGATGACATGCGATCTAAGAAGATGCTGTCATTGGAGGAACAACAATACCGACTTCAGGAGTGTGTATCGCAAGAAAAGAGTGCAGCGAATATTGTGCAGTCATTTGCTGACGATGTTGACCTGCTCCGTATATGGACATGGGTCGACGAGTCATTGAACAAAGCAATGCGAACAGCTGAAGTAGATACAGTGCCATGTGTGTCCAGTGGGCTTGTGTTTGGCAGCACTGACATCACACAACTACTGAATGACATTCGCAAGCCTGGTACTGTACTGGATGTAGCTGATCATGCTGTACTGGATTGTCCAGACAAAGCCACGACTCATGATGACGTTATACTCTGTGTTGAGATGACGTCATCACCGACTGCTGCCACTGCCAGTGCTACCAATACGCCTGCAGTCAGTGTGAGTCTTGATCAACTGGACAACATCGGACTGGAGATTTCCGTATGCAATCATGGCAATGACGAATTTTCCGCTATGCGTACTCGCTGTGAATCATTACCTGGCCGTGTAGAGATAGGACATGATCGATTGGCAGCTGGTCGCTACTGTGTATCAGCTATGATTGGGAACAGGCATTTGCAAGGCAGTCCACAGCAACTCGTGGTAACATCCACTCCCCGTCAGCCACTGTTTGATACCAGTCGATGTGGCAGTTCGTTGAAGATCACCAATGATGGTCGCACACTGAGTCCTACCGTTACCAGTAATTGGTTTACAGCATCAGCATGTACCACACCTATGGTCACTGATGCTGGTAGCAGTACACTGAAGGTGAGGATTGACAAGACTACCAATGGTTTCATCTTCCTCTCTGCCTGTTCATCCAGTAATCCAAACCTGGAACACTGCCAACAGGACAAGACACAATGTTTTGGTTGGCACGGCTATAGTGCTGGTAACCAACACACCGGAACAGCCCTTGGTCAACGCTGGCAAACTGGTGACATCATTCATCTCACAGTTGATCATGATCGTCACACTCTCACTGGTAGACACGAGAGAACGGGCGCCACACAAACCATCCCGAACGTTACAGGTGACCTGTACTGGATTGTTGCACTCGCCTGCTTGGGTAACCAAGTATCGATTGAGTGATAGTAAATGATTCTTGGTAAGAAAAGTCCACTAATTGAAGAACAAAAACCGATCAAACACGACAAATGGCCAGCAATTGTTTTGCACAGAAGAAAGATCCTCACTTGCTGGCTTACCGTGACACAAATTTCGGCGCCTGTGCCAAACTTTGTGTTATAGCCGTGCTGCTCCTTGCATGTCACTCGGTCCTATCATCTAGACGTATTTCCTGATTCCTCGCTGGGCCATGGGCAATCTGGGGGCCAGTGAAGATTTACCGTCCCAATGACTTCTCGGATTCCATTGGGTTTTTTTACTCGTTTTTCTGTCGATATTTGTATGTAGTCGCACGATCAAGAGCTGGTGTTGACAAACCGTTGTAATGTAGTGGAATATTCGTTCGATCACACTATTTTGTCTCTCGGTTTGTTTGTCTAATTTGTCTTCATTGCCTCTCACCAATAGTGAAACAGTAACAAATGATACTGATGTTCTCTTCCAATGTATCAGTCGACACTAGTTTCCTCAGGGGAACCGAAGAGCTGTGTTTTTTCCAGTCGGGGGGGGGGGGGGGGGGGGCTCAGCCTCGTAGCCTACAGTCCATTCAGAAGAAAGATGCTATCCTAGCATTTGGCCATAAACGGGTCAAATTTTGAGTTTTCGGCACAATTTGTTTGGCAATCTGCCATGGAATGCTCTTCTAATTGTGTTTTTGAAGTCTATTTCTCCAAAAAGCAAGACATAACAAGAATAGGATTTCGACCAGTTTTGCCCCCAAAGCACTGAATTGGAGAAAAACCATGAAAATCCAGGCCGTTCACTCCACTTGCATGTAAGGTACATTTGCGGTTCAAACCCCAGTTGAGGTAGCTTTTTTGGACCCTTTTAAACGGGGCCTTTTTCAAGTTTCGTATCTTGCGGCACTACAGAGCGTACCACAAAATCGCCAAAATACAGAAACTCTCCAGAGCCAGCGCTCTTCTTTTTCTGAATGGACTGTAGTCTGTAGACCATTTCTACTACATGACTGTATCATGTACACTGCTGCTAAACCGTCCGATTTTTGAAGGCTCTTCCGAAAACCGGTCCGAAAAAGGGTATGTCCGAAAAGCAGCCAAAAATGGCAGGGGTCAGCACTTTCCTATGCAAAAGTCCTGTATTCTCAAATCACTGCACACGTGCTTCTAAAAAGGCGAATGCAGTGGTAGGTTCATCCAATACAAACAAAGTGTTAGTTCATGACAACTTCTGGGCGCCATGTTGGTCACCATAGCAACGAAGCGAATTTTCTTCGTATTTGGGCATGTTTGGGCTTCTCTGAAAATTTGTGGTAAATGGTGTCAGATTTTTGGGCGACAATTATTTGACAGCACTGGACTTCGCTCCAGAAGATGCACGACACGTCGACCTCCTCCTCCCCCCGAAGAGGACAGTTTCCCAGTTGCACTACTTCAACTATTACTCAAGTTCAAGTCTTGTTAGTTGTACACACACAAGTAATTGCAGGGAGTAATTGTAGGGAGTTGTTGGGCCTATCTACCTGTTTACACCAAGAGTACATGACCATAGTTATGGTGTTGTATCAAGGATGACATTGCGCTCCAGGTCTTACGGGACAACGTGACCGTCACTGAATTTTTGCATCTCGGCAGAGTCAGCAGAAGAAACAATAAACGGCATACGACTCTTGCTGACATGCACACAGGGTAGGAAAGAAATGACATTATTTGAAACAAAACTTAAAAAGGACATTGCATGATTGTCAAAACCATGGCGACAAATCAATCAACATGATCAAGAATAGTGTGCGTGTGTGGCGCTCTGTGTGACTGCGGACGTGGCCAGGCACGGGCTCAATATTATGTTTAAGCACCAAGTACAACCACACCAGTTGGGTTATGCAAACGCACACACATCACACACACACACACATGTTGGTGCCCAAACTAACATGTTTCCTGTGGCCATGGCAGCAGATGACCATAGGATCCGGAGGCACGTTGAAACGACCAGGGAGTCATAACATCACCTCATGGCTCCGCCGTGAGATAGCGTGATCATGACTACGTGCATTATTGGCCGGAACTCCAGCTTGAAGACCATCACAAAATACTACAAGAAGTACCGAAGTTTAGAAACTAGTAGGAAACTGGTATAACTTTAAGGCACAGAGCAGTCTGAAATTGTTAATGCACGACTGCCACTTCCAAAAGGACTTTAAAATATCCTTGTCGAGAGTGAGTCTGGTGGACGTGCTAGTCTTGACAGTGGAGTCTTCTGGCACACGGTCACAGCACGAGAGAAAGCCAATGCACACAAGCGCGAGAAAGCCAATGCACACAAGCACGGGCGGGCGAGTGCACAAGCAGGACGTCAATCCAACCTCGCTTCATCCGCCGCCGAGAAATGGACTGTGCTCTTGGGTAGCAAAGGGTGAGCATACAGGCTCGTTGTCAGTCCATCACAGAGACACGGCGGTGATCTTGACTAGACGGCAACATCCAGCGAGTGATATGGTCTTAAAAAAAGAATAAGGCGCGGACCAGCTGCACCTGAGGCCACATACAACGCCAGGCGGACTGTAGGATTCCAGCAAATGAAGATGCAGACACGCACAATCAAAGCTAGCTGAAGCGGGGCTCTCAGAGTTTGGTCACGGCTGCAGGCACTCAGTTCGAATGCGATAGAGTTAGGAATGATCACCTTACAAGTATAGCCGAGTGCTCCGACAAGCGGAGCACACACTCTGCAACGGACACGAAGGAGAACACGCCGGGATCACTTCGGCAACGCTTGTCACCTTCAACAGCTGTAGTAGTAGAATGCTGCAGCGGTGAGAACCTCCTAGGACTTAGACTAGAACTTAGACTAGGACGACATCAAGCGCCGAGACAAGGTGAAGAGAATGGCAATGACCCATCAGCACACTTTGCAGGTCAGCTGCGTACGGTAGAATCAGTCCTTTGCCGCAGTCTTGCAAGTTGCTACTGTCCTCAATGGCAACCACGGTTGGCTCATTTCTGTTTTTGCTGCTTCCAGAATGCCCGCACGTCCTTGTGTCCAGCGTTCGTGACCACCACACAGCGCTTTGCCGGATTGGAGTAAACCAGCACTCCAATCTCCTACACACAGCCGAGAAAGGGAGAGAAAGAGAGAGAGAGAGAGTGAGAGAGAGAGAGAGAGAGACACACACACACACACACACACACACACACACACACACACACACACACACACACACACACACACACACACACAGAAACAGAGAGGGATCACACTCTGCTACTTTAAAGTACAATCTTAAAATAAATAAATAATATACAGCGACAATATCAGCGACAATATCAGCCAGTGCCAGTACATGTACTAGTAAACAGATATTGTGCACAGGCGAGCAAAGGAGTGAGAAATGGACATGATGGGGATAGATAGATAGATAGATAGATAGATAGAAAGAGAGAGAGAGAGAGAGAGAGAGAGAGAGAGAGGGAGAGAGGGAGGGAGAGAGAAAGAGAGAGAATGGAAGAGAAAGATATGAACTCAAATGAACTAGGCACAATGGCTACTAAAGTGCAATCATGTCTCACCGAAGCATAGTCGCGGATCACCTGGAACTCACTGGCGCTGGCAAACTGGTTGTATAGTACACCTACCAAATGGACACAAACATCATTTAAAATATTAAAAAATTAAAAATTTCACGGTTCGTGTGAGACTCGGCTGGAAGCCGAGTTTTCCGCATCCGCCGTGGGAACGCCACCACCCTCTAGGATCAAAGGCTAGCTAGGCGCAGATGCAGCGCCTAAACGGTGGGAGGTGAGTAGATCAGACCCACCACCAAGTGGTCAAAGACCGAAATCCTATTAGCTGCATCCATGTTACCCTCGTGCCAGGCCACGAGTTCCCAATTAACTGTGGGTCGCAGCACGGCTGGAAAAGTTCCTTCCGCTTCCAAGCAGGACTTGAACCTGGTACCCTCTGTTTCTCAATCATGGTCTTAGACCATCCCACTATGCCTGCCTGCATCATTTACATCATTTACAAATTAACCCTTTATTACCGGATTACTTGCACAGCATGCACCAGAATTACGAATTTCAGCACAATTTCCAACTTCACCAGGTCATAACTTTGGTCTCCTTCACTTGATTTCACAATCTAGGGCTCGTTGGAAAGCTCTTGGCGAGAGCAACGCCAGGGTTCCAAGCTCCATTATCCAGTCGCCACAAATCAGGCGCGGTAACACAGCAAAGTCGTCTCCAAGCCTGATATGCAAACAAATTCGTCCCATCAACGCCATTCCACTCTCCTTCATCGCAGAACGCTCAAATTAATTTTGTTTGAGACGATTCAAACTTCAGCCGACTACGTCATTATCATGTGCTCAGTCGCTCAAAGAGCACACGAAAAGGGAGTTTCCCCAAAAATGGCGAGGTGATCGATCAAAAATTTGAATTTGCCGAGATGAGAATACGGCGCGCGATATCTCTGGCGTCCGACATCGTAACACTTCGGCGATTGTTGCATTGGATAGCTTGGAGTTTCCGCTACCAAATATACCGTTCGATTGTTGAATTCGCACAAGAAATGATGGAGTTACGAAGATATTACTGGCCTACAGACTTTCGATCATATATGATCGAAAGTCTGCAGGCCGGTAATAAAGGGTTAAAAATTCTAAAGGCGTATCCCCTATGCCCGCTCGGCATAAACGTTAGTCACACCAAATGCCCTGAGTTGCAAAAAACCCACATGCATGCACCCCCCCCCCCCCCCCTCCACACACACACATGTACACACACACATTATACAAACACCAACACCAACACCAACACCACCACCACACAGGCACGTAGCCCGCATGGAGAACGGAGGGCATGTGCACCCCCCTGAAAATTTCGACCTAGTTTCAGCATGCACATAATGATCATGAATGACATGCACCAACTATCTTACACGTATGCGGCCGTGCAGCCCCGCCCCCCCCCCCCCCCAAAAGGGGGACCAGCTACGCCCCTACCCACACACACCTGCCCACACCCCACCCCACATATATATACACACACACACACACACACACACACATGACATTACCTTCAGAGGATCGCAGGCGGTCACGTTCCAACTGCCAGAGTCTGACCTGGTCCGATATCGTTGGCGGGACGATGGGATTCTAGGATGGCAAACACCCACACCCAATATACACCAACACACAGCATGCATGCACGCATAGAGTAAGAATGGGACTGGTGCAAAACCCAAAAAGACAATAATAATAGATATGTATTTCTACACCACCTAGAAGCAAAAATACACAAAGTGGTGAGCCATGGTGAAAAAATGAAACACACACATTGATTCAATGAGCATTCATCTGGCCATAACGATTGGAGGCAAAGGAATCTCACAGACCAACGCACAGCACCAGAGTCCAACGCACAGCACTTGCACATCCAATTAGGTATGCTTACAAAGCTGCAAGCCCACAACCACATACCAGTATCAATGAATGATCAGAGAATTTAATGGGTTGCGCCTAAAGAGGTAGTGCAAGAAACCGTTCTGTCCTACGGATTTGCACACGTCATCATTGTTCGCATGACTTATTGCAAACTAGTGTGCAGACTTACGTTCTTTCGCATCTGCCGGTGAGAGTACATCTTCATAAATTGCAGAATCTGCTCGGCCGTGATGCCGTTCCCGAGGGCCTGAGCACAGAAGAAATCCAACGGATGCGGCAGGAAACGAGAATTCACAAGGGGGATTATGACAAATCGTCAGGATAGTTGTCCCTTTTCAAGGTTTTGCTTTAGACCGTATGTTCACATGAAGTGTTAAATGGCCATCCGGCATTATCGATAATTTTCACGGAACGAAAAAGTTTAGTTACAACCCCCCCCCCCCCCCCTCCTGAACATAAAAACGAAACTCTCCGCGACTCACCCATCCATGACCGAAACTTTTTCGTTTCGTGTAAAAGATTGATAATAATATATTATGGACGGCGGCCCCTAAGAAAGGTTTATGCATGAGAGAACTCTGGTGGCATACTGAGTACACTGGGTACATGTACAGTTAACTTTCCTATGCTGAGCAGCAGCTGGCAGGTTTGTGCATATTCTGGTTCTCTGCCACCTCCGAGGCTCTCCGCGTCTCCAAATATGAAGTACGAGTTCATCGGCGGCATCAAGTCTGCCAAGCTGCTGAGCATCATCTAAAGTTAGTTCTAAACTTACATCATGGACGCTCTCACGGGTTAGTAAACCGACAGCCATGCTTGGCAATCTACACCGGACACGGGGAGAGCAGACAGCCAACACAGGAGAAGAAAAAGAAGCCAACGTTGGAGACGAAAAAGTCAAGGGGAAGCAAAGAAATATGAAACATACGCATAAAACGGGTCGGTGGACAGCGGATGACTCACCAGCTGAGGCTACCGTGACCAAGAGTATACAGTATACACGCACCCAAGAGTGTGCGGCGAAAACTCACATCATGTGTCTCAGGTACGTTTCGTACTACGTACAACTAGGGATAGCGAGCGCGCAATCCCAAAATCTGCCATGATTATGCTGGTGAGTTGCACAGGCGCAGTGAGTTCTGCCAGGGAGTGCTTTTATTATTACTCCGCTGCTCGCTAAAAAACGGGCTGGAAAAGTACAACTGGGACACCACACCACGTGATGTGAGTTTTTGCCGTCGACGAACCACATAGAAAGGGTATCAGGAGTTGCACACTCTTGGGAGCTTATATGTATAGAATATTAGGCTGCAACCACACTAGGTACAAAATCACGTACAAACTGCATTACAGTAGAAATCGTCATGCCGACGCGTGCGAAATGCAAAACGCGCTTTGTAGGTTTTCAGCAACTGGCGCACCCCTGTAGAAAGCCACGTTTGTCGTTTTCGTCGTTTTCGCGCTCCATCTCCTCTGTACAACTTTGTTTTTGTACCTGGTCGTCGTACATAGCATCAGCATCAGCATTGTTTTTGAATTTCCCGGTCTTTTCCAGCGCATGGCACACGCTTTGGTACGACAACGTCACGTGCTGTTCGCGTGAAAACGTCATCTATGCAGACCGAAAGTGTAGTGTGGTTGCGTACCAACTTGTACTGAGATATGCATGAAAATTTGTACTGTGATTTTTACGTAGTGTGGTTGCGGCCTAAGCTGAGTCCCGAGTGTTTACGGGAAATAAAAACCCTCGGGACTCAGCTTATATTCTATTTAAATTATAGTATAAAAAAACTCCAGTCATTTTCCTAAAAGTGGTGTTTTATAGCACCAGGTTTTTACAGCACCAGGTTTTTTATACAGTTTTTTTTACAGCACCAGGTTTGTTATACAGGTTTTTTATAGCACCAGGTTTTTTATATGAGTGATTACCAGAAATATTAACTGCTTTTTAGAACACGCAAATGACTGGAGGTTTTTTTATACTATAATTTAAAGTTATATACTCTTGCCATGACTATAATCTCTGCTGCCGCTGGGCAAGCAAGCAAGCATGCCAGTGTCCATGCTGTTACTCATATAGACGTCACCAGCTCACTCTCCTATTCAAGCTGCTCAATTCAATATCATGGAGAGTACACATCGGCGGTGAGCAGCAGAAGTCGCATAAAACAATCCAAGCAGGGTTCAGGTTTTCCGTTTCCAAGCCAGGTGTATGTTTTATTCGAGTCTGTACTCAACGAGTTTCCCTGTACGACCTAGGGCATGCTACGGCTATACTGTACTGCACTGTACCTGTATTGTAAGTCAGCGAACAGTGCTACAATGGCGATGTGTAGTGCAGAGTCGGTGTACGCATACACACGATAGTTGGTCTCCACAACCAAGAAGCCTTCGCTCTCAGGCACCTGCGTTGACTGGTGTAGGCCTGTACCGAGGGAGGATAGGATGAAAAGACAGAAAGAAGAAGGGCGGATTTGTGTGTGCGTGTGTGTGTGTGTGTGTGTGTGTGTGTGTGTGTGTGTGTGTGTGTGTGTGTGTGAGAGAGAGAGAGAGAGAGAGAGAGAGAGAGAGAGAGAAACGCATTTTTGAATACGGACAAATCATATCCTTGCACTTTCACATCAATAGCAATCGTGAATTCACAACAGCAAGACGGAAATAACAGTGCGAGCAGCAGCAGCAGCAAGACTATTTTCATTATATTCTCACCTGAAGAGAAGTTGATGGCCAGGCGTGTCGGGTAGTAGCGCTTGGATTTTTGCTGCAACGCACAGAAGGCAAACGATCATTTACACACGGGTGTATGGTGCATTGTCTTTAATACACGGCAGTGTCTTACGATAGCAGGCACACCGAACCACATAGCAAAGGTGAAGAGATAGTGCCAGGAACCATGCAGGGTAACATACACACCAACAAAAAGATTCTAACTCAACAGCGAGGGTTTGCAGGAGAAAAAATTGTCCCGGATGATGGCCTGGCAAGCCCGTACACACTCACCTTCCTCTGGTACACCAAACCGTACTCTCGCATGTCCTGCAGGAACTCCATCTGCAATGGTGACAGGCCGTCAGTAGGGTAATCCTGCAGTGTGACACACATGAACAGAACAGTAAAATTCCTCCAACTCAAACATCTGAAATCCAGCACAAGACTTCTCCTTATCCAACAACAAAAGACAAGCACCGATAGAGGTCTGTCTGTCCTGAGAAACACTTTGGATATCAAACAACGAACAATCGGATTACAGTCAGACCTCGCTTATCCGGTCCTCTTTTATCCGGATCCCTCGCCATCCGGAAGAAAATAGCTGGTTACATATTATTTACAGCACACTTATGCGTCCAACATAAACGGTGTTCGGTTATCCGGTTCCCTCGCCTATCCGGATATTTTTGTGGAAAACAGATGTGTGCGGTTATGCGAGGTCTGACTGTATATTAATAGGGAAGTTTCGCTCTATGTAGTTCCGCATGAAAATAACGCAGGACCCGCACGACATTCTCATACGCGAAAGTTCGCGCTGTTGGGTTTCGCTCTACGTGATTTCTCCACACTCATGAAGCATGGGTTGCTACGTTGGAGACGCGTCGGCTGCATGCGCCCATGCGCCGCACCGACAGCAGAAGCAACAGGCTTGATACAGGTCGGGCTAATCACTAGCACCACAGTGATTTTCCACAAGCTGTGCACCTTGCATTGCGCGCGGCTTGAACTTTGACATGGATAAATCCGGAAACTACGAAAAATATAACGTAGGAAAGCGCTTTCTTACTGAAATCCGCAGAGAAATTTACGTATGAAAGTTACCCTCACTCCCAGGCGTGTATGACCCTGGATGTTCATAGCTTTTCTTGTCCAGCAGATACATAATTATGACCTTAGCAAAAGTGATACTGATCCCAATGTGTGTGTGTGTGGGAGGGGGGGGGGGGGGCATTTATGGAGTTGCGGCCGATTGGTTACAAGGTAAAGCTGGCTCATAGGATCATCTCACAAGGTCTCGAGTCACAGCAGCATTGCGACAGAATAAAGGTTAGGCAAATCACATCACTGTTAGTGCAGTCATGGATGGTATTGAGTGGCAAACCAACCGATACAAAACCAACCAAAATGGCATATTACAAAATTAATGACACAACCTCAGTACATTGTACATGGATGTGGATCCTGTGCTACAGTCCATTCAGAAAAAGATGAGCGCTGGCTCTGGAGAGTTTCCGTAATTTTCGTGATTTGACCCATTTATAGCCAAAAGCTAGGATATCATCTTTTTCTGAATGGACTGTAGCTGTCAAGTGACGGGGAAATGGAAATTTCAAACCCAAACCTAATCCATTCAGAACACCAGGCGTCCAACTTACCTTTCCCAAACACGAGAAGCTGATGGTGAAGAGTAGAGTGAGGATCTCCACCACGTCCTTTCCCATACTCTGCAGGCAGGAGAGAAAGAATTATTATTATTTTTTTAACACGCGAACGGTTGTCATGATGGATAATTACAGCATGACAGTGATTTTTATTTTATTGACAGCACCACCGAATCTTGAGGACTTGCATGCACTCCGGTAGAGTGAAAACTACTAAAACATTGGCAGGCAAGGCACACAAAGCCTTGCACCATATGCTTGCTAATGCAAAATGTCACCACAGGCCGTCACCAGAAGCAACAGGCTTGATACTGGTTGAGCTAATCGTTCAGGCGTGTGTAAACCAGGGGCGTCGGAACCGTTGCGGCAGGTGCGGCCAAAGCCGCACCAATAATTTCATCTTGGGATTTTTGAAGCAATGGAATACGGGCTATTTGGGCCCCAATTTCCCTAATTTTTTCCCGGGGAGGACCCCTGGACCCTCTACCCCTACATGCCCGCCCCAATGTCAAATACCTTCCGACGCCCCAGTAAACCGGTCATGTGTTGTGGTGGATGCACTGGAGACCATGCCAATAGCACAGAGCTGGATGGAACCAAGAAAACCCTTCCAACAAGCCGTACCTCAATGGTCTTGAAGTAGTAGAGCATGAAGTACCACACCTGCGCCGTGGTGTCCATGAGCAGAAACTGGAAGCCAGCAGCTGTGATTGATGCTGCAGAGCCTAGCTCACCACTGCTACAAGCGAGAAAGAGAGAGAGAGAGAGAGAGAGAGAGAGAGAGAGAGAGAAAGAGAGAGAGAGAGAGAGAGAGTTGTCAACAACATACAACACGGCATATAAGTCCACTGTACCAGTGAAAACAATCAACAGTTCCGGAGGAAAAGTCAGTGCAGCGCTGGAGAAGAGACACAAGATAAGTTGTGCAAAAGAAAGAGATAGAGCGAGCAAGATAGATAGATAGATAGATAGAGAGTGAGTGAGAGAAGAGATGAAGTGCCCATCTGCAACAAAAATAAGAACAAGTAGAAGTGAAACATACCACGCATATAATCCTGCACGCTGTAGGAGGTCCATCACCTTGCGACTGACATCGGACACATTGGATCCGACCAAGAAGTGGAGGATTATCTATTATGGCACACGGTAGAAAACAAAACCATTGAGACCAACTTCTCAACTGGGTGCGAGTACGGAGGATACTGCAATGACACTAATATTGCATGGGTGTCTGGTGATTGCACTGTATGTGTATCAAACTCCCCGTTCTACTTCTATCTCGAGCTCCGGCGCTGTGGCGTTTGAGCACAGCCGGCACACTGGCTCTGGCACACCCTTGGTTAGTGCATGTGCACGTAACCCGTATGAAACAAAGTCATTGGACAACGAATGGCCTTGGCAAGCGGGCCTTGCAAGGTCGGGCATGACGCAGGACGCGGGTGCAAGCGCGCAACACCACGCAGCACTGCACTGCATCCCCGACCCCGAGAGCCCAGCAGTGTCCAGTCGAGGCGAGACAGCGGCACATTACACTTGTTTCAGGTCAAGTAACAAACCCGGACTTCCGATGGCACTTGATTCTTAACACCTGGGAAGTATTGACACTAATTTGACAGTATCGAAAAAATCCCCTATTGCTACACAAGCTGTATATTCAGAATATGTGAAGCCTGCTCAATAGTCAATCTTTTACTCCACAGTACACCTTGCCGTCCTGTGTGCATTAGGAGCTGTTTGGAAAGTACTACAAACATAGGAGTAGGGGTGAACGATCACAAGAAACTCATCAATAATTGATTTGCTAACGACTCAACTATCCATTATAGAGATCATCTTGGGGCATACCATTTGATTGAAGTTACGCTATTTCTCCCACTTCTATAACATCATAAGAGAACGTTTCCAAGCATGTCGAATAAGGACACAACCAAATCCCCTAGATTTACAGCTTGTCATGCAAAATACCGCTTAAAAAAAGTAGGGCTGAAACGATTATACCAATTACTCGGTAAGCAATGGATAATTAATTCCTTATCAATCAAGTAATCGTTACGTTAAAGATTACTCGTCAGGGATTTTGAGTAAAAAAAAAGTACTGAAAACCCTCGTTTTGTGAAGTTTGAATCAGTTTCCACCGTGAGTATGCACTTGCCAGGGGCATGGTGCATATTCTGAGGTTAAATTCTGACACTATTTGCTAACGATTATAATCGATTAATCGATGGATAAGCTAAAAAGTAATCGATAGGTGAAAATCCACGATCGTTTCAGCCCTAAAAAAAAGGCACACCAGCGACTTGCTGCACTTGTAACCACAGCATTTCTGGTTGCCAAAAAGGCTTTGTAATACTCGGCATGCACACCTGCTGTGTTTCTCGTCACCCGCGCGCATACGATTCAGGAGTCTGGAGGAAAAAAAGAAAAAAATGTGCTGCACTGACTGTGCATTGTGGGGACCAGCACACTCATGCACATGTACATGATGTGGCCTGGCCTGCGCGACACATGATGCGAGGTCACCATTTATTGTGCACAATCTAGCTGCACATGCACAGATCGTGACAGAAGCTCCTACCGCATCCTAGTTGCTAACTATGGATGCTATTTTGCATGGTGTATTGGGGGATTTTAGTGTGAACAAAGGTCTAATAAACTTTTTTTTATTTTCCGGTCATTTTTTTATTTTTTTCCACCTCTCGCATACGTTTTTAGATTTTCAGGTGACGAGAAACATAGAAATAAAAATGTGTGGCCTAACTAGTATTGTGTGTGCAGCCTAACAATTTAAAAGTGATTTGTCTGATGTGTCTGCTGAATCTACAGGATTGTTTCACCCCTATATTAGAGTATATCTTGCCGCAGAGACTCACTTCCCAACGCTCCTTGGCGTACGAATCCAGGAAGGCAATGTCTCTCGTGTGCTTGTCAGTGGCTGGTGGGACGGGCTTGAACCATGCCTTGCCGCTACATGCACGGTGCAAACACACATACACACAGAAGATGTACAGATGAGAGCAGCGCACTAAGATCATAACTAAGAAGCGAGTGTTTTACATGGAGAGAGAGAAAGAGGGGGGGGGGGGGGTAACTCCATATCGGCGATACATGTAGTCAGAATCTGCCCTGCTGGCAGCAGGGTATATGTAAGCATGCAGGCGCATACTGAGCTCTTCAAAACAGTCTTCAGAATCGACTACACACGCATGACCGAAACATTCCATGCGTGCTCAGCAGAGACTTACCCGCCACAAAGCGCAGTCCGCAGACCCTCGCGGAAGATACTGCTCAACCGCAGACCCTTGTGGCCACCAGCCAGCTCTTCCAGGAACCAGATACGCAGTCGCCGCAGTCTCTCCACACCTTGCTCGTGTGAGCTGCCAGAACAGAAACACAAAGAAGGGTCAGTAGTGAGTCTTCGCCTGTAACGTTTTTTTTTTAGACCTTCTTCTTTTATTGAAAGTCTAGCAGTATGGTTAGACAAGAAGGCAGGAGTGTGTGTGTATTTCGTGAAGTAAAATAAAAACAAACATTGAAACAAACACCCAGAAGTCCTTGAGCTGCACACTTTAACACGTCCCAACGGCAATACCCCAGACAGGTACATGAACCCAGTTGGGCTCAGCTGCTGGGCCTGCGCATCTTTACAGCCAGCTCCACACATACACACACACGCACGCGCACACACACCATGTACCATGTACCATGTATACGCCCGTCGCAAGAGAAGCACGCAAATCTGCAAATGCACTGGATGTGCACCCACAGATTTTCTCTTATAGCAACGATAGCGAACAAGAACTGAATAAGACAGATCAAGACTTGCGCCAGATAACTGTCTAATCCACACAGCTGGCGAAGCCATGTGAATCGACCACCAATGCACACCTGGTCTACACCACACGGAGTACATCGGCATAAAACGGCCAAGACAGTTACCTATGCACACCCTACACTTGCTGGGGTAACTAGTATGGACAGCACGCTGCTTTGATAGAAGCAGACACTAGATGCACTGGTACCTTGAAGTGAAATTGGAGTTACTTTACCAACCAGCCTCGGCTACTGAGTACTGAGAACCCAGAGCCAACAGACATACCAACAACCTCAGCCATGAAAGCTATTATGCCGCACACACACACACACACACACACACACACACACACACACACACACACACACACGCACGCACACACGCACGCACACACACACAAACATATCGGCTAAGTTACATTATTAGGGACATGGATCAAAGTGTGCAGCTCAAGGACGTATGGGTGCAAGAAGGTCTAAAGAAGAAGACCTAACTCTCCAACGGCTCCAAACCATCACCCTAAGAGCTTATAGGAATGGCATACTCAGCAACCAGCCACCACTACATTTGCACAGTCTGGCACTGCGCGGGAAAGGCTGACTCAAACACCACCTCAAGCCAACGGCCACCTTCCTGTGTGTGTGTGTGTGTGTGTGTGTGTGCGTGCGTGCGTGCGTGTGTGTGTGTGTGTGCTCCATTCGGCAATAAGAATTAAGATGGCTGTAGAAGGTTGGCTTAGCTGTACAAACCAGTTACTCAACAGACTGCTGGTGGTTGGCCCTTCTAGCTAAATCGGGATACCGAGGTACATCAGATCAGGAGGAAGATGTCATAAATAAAGAGTGAGGGAAAAATGCTAAGCATAGATGGAAGAAGGCACCATCAAACAGTTGGTCACTCCATTACCTCTTCTGTCCGGGCTTGCACCAGGAGAGTATGAGCTTTTCCGGAACGACTTGCTCCGAGAACAACACACGCATGATGTAGTGTTTGTCTAAGGCCGGCAGTTCCCTGAGCACACAAGATGAACGAAACACAGTTCATTTTCTCGGAATGATCTTCCAAGGGCGTCGGAACCGCACCGGCCGGGGCGGCCATGGCCGCCCCACTTTTTCGGCCGTTTTTTTTTTTTGAGCACACTGCAACAAAGCGCGATGATCTCAGCGCAAACGTGGCAAATCCTTGTCCCCGATCGTGGTTTGTTGCAGAATCAAAAGTCCATGTACACTGAAATGGCACCAAATGCCTGGGAATGCTTGCAATTGGCTTCAATTTTTGATTTTTTCCCGGGGGAGGGTAATCTTTGTCCCCGATCGTAGCATCTTCTTGGTTTTTTGCAGAATCAAAGTCTTTCATTGTAGTTACCGTACACTGAAATGGTACCAAATGCCCGGAAATGCTTGCAATTGGCTTCAATTTTTTCACGGGGGAGGACCCCCGGACCCCCTTCCATGGCCGACCCACCTCCAAAGTCGGTGCGACGCACCTGTCTTCATCTAAAAGTGCGGTCCTTTCTGCTGGTGAATGCCACCCCTTCCCATTGCTGACTCCACGGCAAAGTAGAATATTCAGGTAGTGCCGATCAATAGGTGCATGCGGAGGGCCTGTTTCGTCAAGTTATACCGCACAGCAGACCCGGCAAAACCGTCTTGCTGGTCCGCGCATGTTTGGACCAACCTTCCGGCCAAGACCGTGGGGGGGGGGGGGGGGGTACTGCTAAGGACCTCATGCACTAGTGATGTACGTGTGAACAGGTGTGATCAGCGTGATTTAATTTTGTGTTTCAATTGATTTTTCCTTTTTTTTTTAAATTTTGTGCTCCAATTGATTTTGAAACTCGGATGTTGAGCCATAAATAAATGTAAAAGAGAAAAGGACATATGGATACGAGTTAAGAGTAACTAAGAGTTAAGAGTATATAGTATCATGTTACAGTGATGGAGAGTTACTCTTAACTCGTATCCATATGTCCTTTTCTCTTTTACATCCAATTGATTTACTAGTATTTGAATTGATTTTTATACTTCGAAGTAGTTTACTGAATTTGTTTGATGATATGTGCAATTCATTTTGCCTGTACAAGAGGCTTTATCACTGGCGTGGCATGCATGTAATAGCAATTGATGACAAATGAGCTGAACTAGCGATGTGTGGATGCCCTGCCTAACAGCCTGAGCAATTATTCACGCTCAGGATGCTAGCTAAGGCATCCCGGCACGCATGGCAGGTTTGGTTCATTTGTTGTCTATTGTTATCGAAAATGCATATATCGCACTGCGGTGTTCAATCTTCCGGAGAGCTGGTAGTACTAGTAGCCGCTAGACGTAATGAAGGCAGTGCATCGGGCATCTGGCCCATAGAAAAGAGATGACAGTTGCATACTCTTGTTTTTATGACTCTTGCCGTTACTTTGAAGTGGCCGAGGTGCAAATTTTCATAGGCATTAGTAGTGAGAGGCGATGTGATAAATCACTGGATACACGGTCATTCGAGTTCAGTTGCTTCGTGTTTTGCGAGCCAGTATCGTTGATCTAAACGCAGAATTAAAGCTTAGGCAGTACTCCTGCTGCTGCAATCTGATTTCATATTTTGTTGAGTTTACTCGGTTTCGCCTTTGTTCTGGAGTGGACACGATTTAGTGACCATCATAAGCCAATTGTCGGGTGTGAGATCAGCAGACCTCTTACCTGAACACCGCTATGCAAGCAGCCGGATGGGCGTACAGCCTATCCAAGGTGTCCGCGGAAAGCGATTGCAAAAACCCGTGCAGGTCAATGCCCTGAAGACGTTGGGTCGCCTCCATGATCGCCCCCCTGTCTACCTTGCTCAGACGCTCTCTGCTGACAATCACAAGCAGTTCATGCTACTCGGAGAGGTCAGATGTACAGGCAACCAAGGCAGCAGGTATGTTCGTGCTAACTCATAATCGCAGGCTCAGAGAGAGAATGAAGGCCAGAATGGAAAATGAATCAACTCTTCAGTTCAAATGCAAAACTACAGTATCTCGAAAGCTGTCTCATATCGAATATAAAAATTTAATGCATGTTCAGCGTGGTTTCACTCTTTGAAAAAATGAATATTTGAAAAGTGACGTTCAAGATATGCACAAGCATGGCATGTGCAAAATAATCAGATCAGAGTGTATCTTGAGGTGCTCGCATATCCTGCATAGTGTCGACCATACGTCCATCGATCATCACCGTTTGATCACGTCATGGTCATGATTATTAGCTACGTAGCTGTCTGACTGTGAAGAAAAAAAATCTGATCTGATTTGAACAAGAACCAAGAGTGACAAACATACAAGCTGCGAGAAGAAGCAGATGGTGGAGGTTTTCTCATCCGTGTGATGTAAAAGAAGTGCTATGCGCTAGTTTTATGGCAGTGGAAGGTCTACCACTAGTACCCATCCCAGAAGAGAAATGGCACGCAAGTTGCAGCTGGTTCTGATGGTGTTCATGGTGTTGTCCATCGTCGTCATCTTCAATGAATACTTTATTTATTACATTGCTTTGTGGAGCTGTAGCTTCCCAAGTATCGTAGATCCATCCGATGAGAATATTGTCAAGGCAATAGTCCTTGCTGATCCTCACCTGCTCGGGGAGAGGCGAGGCGCGTGGATCGACCGACTGCGACGAGAATGGCAGATGGAACGAACGTTTCAAACTGCAATGAGCTTGCTGGAGCCAGATGTTGTATTCATTGTGGGTGACGTGATGGATGAAGGATTCGAAGCATCCGAAGAGGTGTGTCACCGTGTGTAGCTCTACAGTACAATAGGCGAGCCTCAGTCCACATCCACATGTTTTATCAGCGTTGAGCTGTGTGACTGTATGAGCACTGGCAGACTCACTCACGGCTGGTCAGTCTGCATCCGCTCACCTCTGGACTGCCATAGTTCTAGTCAGCTTATTTATGTCGGAACACAATGGTGACGTCATGACACGGGATGTGATCGTTATCATACTCCATATGGCATGCACACGCCCAGTGAGTGTCGGCGACTAGTACGGCGCAACCTGAACACGTGTCCATGGTGACAGCTAATTTGAAGTAATTCCTGATTGGAAATGCGCCCCTAGATAAGATGCGACTTTACGCTCAGCAATCATGCCTTGCATTTGCGGGGCTGCCTTCCCGGAATCGAACATGAAAGTGTTCTCTACTATGCCGAAGAGTTGAACAGACGAAATCTCAAGTACCGTATTTTCCAGAGTATAAACTGTGCTTTTAAAAACACTAGTAACTCGCCCAAAAAGTCTGTGCGACTTACTCTACGACGGTCAAATGAATGGTGATAAACCGGAAAAAAAATGTCGGTTTTCCATGACAGAAAATATCTGGGTGCGGCTCATACTCTGGATAATACAGTCGCTATTGGTACCCGTGTAATCCACGTCTTGCCAAATGTCAGTACCAACATGTGCCTCGACCTCATGTCATTGTTACATTGTGCACATGTACAGCAGTGGCCAAAGCACTACGTCAAGTTGGTCATCGAAAGTCTTCACTTTGCCTTCTTTTTTTTGCAGGACTTCAAGTTTGCATTCGAGCGCTATAGTCGGATATTCCGGCGGCCCGGAGACACACCACTGCTGCTTGTCGCTGGGAATCATGATATCGGGTTTCATTATTCGTAAGTCCAGGACCAAGCGTCATAGCGCTTATTCCAAGGTCTTGTTATTTGAGATACGCCACCCGTTCACACCTGTGAGGAAATACCACATGCCAGCCCCTGATTTCTGTGCACCATGGGGTTGCCACTAAGCGCGATGCTGCTTTGTGTATGTTGCAGTGTGACAGAATCCAATGTGCAACGATTTGAGGAAGCATTCAAGACATCATCGGTGAAAGTCGTTTCCATTCGCAATATTCCGTAAGCATCCTGAACCCTTCTGTGTGCACGCGTGCTGTGCATATGGGTACATATACTAAAAATTAATAGGGTGACGTGTGTTTGCTTGTCTGTTTGTTGTGTCGAGTTACATGACGTGTTTCCGTGTTCAGTATCACAGTTATGGCGATTGCTTTTCGTGTAGATGTGCCTGGGGATTACACCCATTGTACCAGTTACTCTAATTTCAGAAATTTTCGGTGCTCAATATTTTCGGTATGAGGGCAACAGGCCAGGTTAAGTGAACAGAAATTTTCGGTACAGAGAAGCAGTTCCCTATTGGATTACATGTATTAGGGTTTGTTCGGTGTATTGAAATTTTAGGTATGAAACAGACGCACCGAAAGTACCGAAAATTTGTGAAATTACAGTATGCCTTGGACATCTACTGTACAGTAGACCCTCACGTATTGCCATAAGAATGTATATGAAACACCAGTGGATAACTGAAATCCATATACTACTTTGCTACTTTGCTACATCCACATTGACATTTCAGCACTATAGTTCATGATAGATTTGTGGATAAGTGAAGCCACGCGAAAGGTGTGCAGTACGTATTTTTCCGTAATAGAGGAGAGAAAGCACAAGCTGTGATGAGCTCAGTGAGCTAGATGAGATTGTTGCTGTTATTTTTCTCGCTCGTATCACTGCTGTTGTTTTTCTTGCTCGTATCACTGCTGTTGTTTTTCTTGCTCGTATCACTGCTGTTGTTTTTCTTGCTCGTATCACTGCTGTTGTTTCTCTGGCAGGTTTGTGCTTCTGAACTCGGTTGGCCTAACCTCGGACGGCTGTTGGCTTTGTAGCGCCATGGACGCCAAGCTGAAAGAGTCTGCATTGGCGCTGCGACGCTGCTCACCTGTAAGTTGAGCGATGGCAATGTGATTATGTCTCTGTATATGTGAGTCCACATGTTTCACGTCTGTGCATGTACAGTTACACTCGGTAAAATGCAACCCGAAGTGCAAAGCTGGTGCCCTGGACTAGTTCCGATTATATCATTGTATCTGTACAGGTGTACGTCCAGCCGCATTCGTGCCACTTCCCGGGCGTCAAGGGCGTGCTAGTTGAGGGCACCAAACATGCATTCTGTGTCGGATTTCACCGAGCACAACCGTAGTACATGTAGTGCAGTTCTGGTTAGGGACATTTTCTTCTGTGAATAAGTCAGCGTTCTGGCCTTTTTGGAGGTGACCGTTCGGTTGATACACTAGGTAACATACTCTTTCAGATTCTTGTCTTGGGGCACCTGCAAGCCTGGTGCAGACAAGTTGTGCCCGTTCCTTCGACAGTGGCGACTGATTCCGAGATGATCGGCTGGAGGATGTATTGGTTAAACTCATTGAGGGAAGTCTTGAGCTTGGATAAGACAGTTTAGTTGGAAAGAACTCCCAGCACAAGCTCACAAACACAACAGATAGGCTATGAATTCATACTTTGTATTGCTATTTTAATTGAATGACACCTGGCCGTTTTCTGCAGATTGGCTAATATCTAGGTACCGATATGCTAGTTTATATACAGTGGGTGTCATGGCCTGGGTACAAAACAAAGCAGCCGAAACAAGCGGCAACATGGTTGAACACGTACATTGCGTTGGCATGCAGCAGTGCAGTGTCAAATGTTCTTCTAAATGTCCTGATTTGTATTTATTCAACATTTCCTGGCTCGTCAAGCGACTGCCAATGACAAATGAATGTGAAATGAAGGGTAATAGCCAACCACGGTAAATAAGATGATGATGTACCGTATCATCTCTAATATAAGCACGGTCCTTTATTTTTTCAATGTACCTCCGCCCCGTGCTATTATTGGAGACGTTCCTTTATTGGAGACTGTTCCATTATTATTTCAACCTCATTTCAGAGGCTTGTTGCCATGCCAAATTCATGTCAGACATACACATTTCAGGGTTTTTCGCCGGTACAGATAATGAATTTACACAGTTTGCTTATAATGGAGACTGAGCACTTTATTTTTTGAATGCCGCCCCAAGGTGTTCTATTATTGGAGACGTGCTATTATTGGAGACTGTGCTTATATTAGAGATAATACGGTAGTAGCCAGTGTTGGAAATCACCTACTTCGGACCAGATGTAGATGTGTATAGTGTGACAACTCACAAAACAAAGTGTCCCGCCATTGTGAACTTGTGTATACTAGTAAGGTAGTGTGTGTATGAGTGCGTGAATAGCCAGTGATAGCCTGGCCATCCGATGAGAATGTTTGAGGCTCCTCTTCGTTTGTTGAGCACTTTCGCAAGTCAACGGCAACTCTGCTTTGTGACGAGACTGTTTCTGGATGTTTCTGTGATGGTATGTGATTAATAATGCACCTGTGTACTGTGTTCTGCAGGACGTACCAAGCGAGGCGTGCATACAGCAGCCCGTGCCAGGGATACGTCCCATACTGCTGCAGGTCAGTCCTTGCTCACCTGCCACACGCATACACTGTGTGAATACAGGCACCACAGAACCCAGTACGCATTTGAACTTTTGACTTTTGTTGCAGCTGGATAATGCAGTGCAGGAACTTCTTGAGGTACCGATATTGGTAACTTGTGGAAACCTGTGTGTATGGCATTGTTCTTTGTTTGTGCCTGGCTTGTAACACAATCACAATGCACTAATTCATGGGTGTATGAGTTTTGTTCCTTGTTCATATTCGTGACACAGTCGTAATGCCTGGATGTATCATTTCTGTGCCTTGCTCGTGACACAGTCGCTATACATGAATGTAACACTTCTGGGCCTGGCTCGTACCATAGTCGCACTGCACTAGTGCATAAATGTAGAACCTCTTGGCCCGGCGCGTGACACAATCACAATGAACTAATGCATGGATGTGTACCCTCTGTTCCTTGCTGTGCAGCACTACCCACTGTACCGGTCGTCAGACCTGCTTTGCCATGGTGATGACCTTGCTCCCAACATTGGCAATCAGCAGGAGTTCCGCGAGTCCTGGGAGGTGATCTCAAAGGAGGCTACCGAAACGGTGAGTGCTGCTGGCTATATCACTATCAGGAAAGACGGAGCAGTTCAGGCTAGGTTAGTGCTGCTGGCTATCAGGAAAGACGGAGCAGTTCAGGCTAGAGGTGTGACGTGCTCGGAATACGTTGCCTACTCCACCCGTGTTGTGAAACTGCCTGAAAGTGAAATATCTATGCTATTGGAGTAGTGGAATACTGGACTGCTGAGCTGGTAACCTGCGCCTGTATTCAACGCCTAGCTGTGTGTGCGTGTGTGTACATGTGTGTGTGTGTGTGTCGCGCACGTCCTGTGTGCTATTCATCGTTCAGGTGCTGTCCTACTTTCAACCACGCTTGGCCTTCTCTGGACACACTCACCATGGCTGTAACATCATGCATCATCTTGGCACGCCATTCCCCACGGAGGAGCAGACGATAGCGTCGTTCAGCTGGCGAAACAGAAACGATCCGAACTTTATTCTGGTAAGGCCCACGGCTTTGTCTTTTGTCCTACGGGCATTCGCCTTATTTGAGGTTCATTGGTTTTCAGTGGCAGTGCTTCATGTCCTGTACAGCGAGGAGTTTAATTTCAGAATTGTGGGGTTCACTGGCGTGGCTGCTGTGTGAGAATGCCTGGGTTATTGTTTAGATGCCTTCCCAGTTCAGTGCTCACTGCTGAGAAAGGCATTGTTGGCTTATAGTTATACAGTGTATAATGGGCAGCGTGTACAGTCATGTACCAACTTAGTGCTGATCTCCAGTGTATAATGTGCAGCATGTACAGTCATGTACCAACTTAGTGCTGATCTCAAAGCAAGATAGTGAATCACATCATTATCAGCAACTTGTCACACACCCAACTTTCCTGAGTCATGTTCTCCCCCATTGTGCTGGAGGCAATGTTAGAGCACCGTGTTCTTTTCAATGTTCGTGCTGCTGTGTGGCAAGTGTAGTGTATCCATTTGCCCTCCTTGCCGTGGTGTGTTGTTTACCGTGCTCCAGCTGACGGCCTCGACAAAGGACTACAGCCTGGACAAGTGCTCACCGCCGTCGGAGAGCCTGGTTCTGGCCTCGTACCTGTTGACCATACTGGCCACCGTGGCGTTCCTAGCCTGGCCGCAGTGCTCGCGACGGTGGTACGGCTCTCGGCGCGTCGGCGATGCCTGGGCACAGCCGCAGTGGTCCGACTACAATTTCCACTGGAAGAACCGCAAGGGCACGTGACACGACAGCGTGCGTTCGATGCTGCTGCTGCGCCTGCGCCCGTGCTGTTCGTCTGCATACAAACTGCATTGACTTTGCTACAGCGGGGTCTGTCCAAGTGTGCTACTGCGTAGCACGAGCTTGCGCCGCGTTCTGCCGGCGGCACGAGTACCCAACCTGACTGCGACGTCCGTCACTAGTGTTGCTACACACAGTGTACCGTGTCATGCTGTGCTGCTAACGTACTACTTTGGAGTAGTAGCTGTCTGCACGGGTACATTTACCCGATTCCTAGCCAACACGCGCGACAGCGGCATTGATGAACGCTACAGCGCCGTGCGGGCTTTAAAACACCAGTGTGGCTAGTCCATGGAGTCCTGTGCAATCATAAGACTGCCTTGCCTATCGGTCAGACTGCCTTGCCTATCGGTCAGACTCGCACATGAAAGCGTTCGTATTTATACGCTTTATATATTCGTGTTTCCGCTTTGACCAGCTGCTGTCCGTGCTGAGCTCAACCAAGTCCACTGTACCTGCCACCTTTTTAGGAAAGAAGGTCGCGTATTCACCGACCGACGTGTTCACAAGTACTTCAAGTATTATGTTTAATAAATTGTCTATACCGTCTGAATTCTGGTTTATAGCCTTTTGGCAAACATTGCATTTTTTTAAACTTCCCGATCAATAATTTCGTAGGCCCTAATCCGCTGGTCCGGTTAGCCACTCATTACTAGGCTGCTCCACTCTGTCATTTCTAGGATTTCTAGGAGATGGTGATCCGCATGTTCAATGTCTCTTCTCTGTCACTGGAGTAAGTGTCAGGCCTATTCTAGTTTCCATTCAGACTCGCTTGTAACAAGCTTGTTATTCATTTTTCTATTCAGCATATTGCGGTTCCGTGTTATTTATGCGGTTTGCTGCTGGTGCGCTCTATTTCACTGGTTGAAATGTTACTAAACGTTTTCAAAACGTGCACACTTCTAGTGGCTCACAGTCCTGGTCGCATGGTGGTATAAAAACAGGCCAGCAGTAGTTCCATTTCCATACGGTATACCCCCCCCCCCCCCCCCCAACACACACACACATACCTATCCCTGCGGGGATTTGCGGAAAAATTCTCGAAAACTTGTGCAAGAAATTGCGGCAGAAAACAATAAAAAATGCGGCGAAAAGTGCAGAACTTGCCAGGAATCCGGGGAATTATTTTGCAGAAAATTACAGATTTGGGGCAAATCACGAATTTGTTGCATCTTTAGAATCACTATTTGCGCAGTAGATCTACTCGGGAATAGTACTGTGCAAATAACCTACAGTGCTGGCAACTGAAATCCAACCCCCTTCACGGCGCGCCGCGCCGGGAAGGGGGTTGGATTTCAGTTGCCAACCCCCATGTACATGATCATGGAAAACAGTGTGTGAAACAGTGTGTGAAAAGTGCAGAAAACAACAAAAAACGCGAGAAATCGCGTGTTTTGCAGAAAATCGCCGGTTTGGGCCAAAATCGCGAAATCTGTTGCATCCGTGAAATCGCGATTTCCTGGAGGGACAGACATACACACGTTCAGGAACGGCATGCATGCAGGCAATGAATATCGATGTGACAGGGGCTTTTCTCTCTGCATGTAAATGTAGAATTGTTTTGAGGACCCCGATTATTCTTCTGCAGTAATCTGACCTGGGATATACATGTACAGTAAAACCTGTAACTAAAGACCACCGTGACTAGCGACCAGCCTGGTACTACAGTAAAACCTGTAACTAAAGACCACCGTGACTAGCGACCAGCCTGGTACTACAGTAAAATCTGTAACTAAAGACCACCGTGACTAGCGACCAGCCTGGTACTACAGTAACATCTGTAACTAAAGACCACCGTGACTAGCGACCAGCCTGGTACTACAGTAAAATCTGTAACTAAAGACCACCGTGACTAGCGACCAGCCTGGTACTACAGTAAAATCTGTAACTAAAGACCACCGTGACTAGCGACCAGCCTGGTACTACAGTAAAACCTGTAACTAAAGACCACCGTGACTAGCGACCAGCCTGGTACTACCGTAAAACCTGTAACTAAAGACCACCGTGACTAGCGACCAGCCTGGTACTACAGTAAAATCTGTAACTAAAGACCACCGTGACTAGCGACCAGCCTGGTACTACAGTAAAACCTGTAACTAAAGACCACCGTGACTAGCGACCAGCCTGGTACTACAGTAAAACCTGTAACTAAAGACCACCGTGACTAGCGACCAGCCTGGTACTACAGTAAAACCTGTAACTAAAGACCACCGTGACTAGCGACCAACCTGGTACTACAGTAAAACCTGTAACTAAAGACCACCGTGACTAGCGACCAACCTGGTACTGTACTACAGTAAAACCTGTAACTCAAGACCACCGTGACTAGCGACCAACCTGGTACTACAGACCACTTCGCCAGGCACGGACGGTCTCACATTCATATCAAGAGTACATAGTTTTCATGTACTCTTGATTCATACATGTATGGTTGCGCGGTGCAAACCTCTAACTAAGGACCACCTGCCACTAAAGACCGCTTTCTCTGGCACCAAGGGGTGGTCGTTAGTCACAGGTTTCACTGTACACTAGAGTATGCATACACCACGGCTATAAAGTACAGTGAACCCTGTCTAAGACGACCGTTCAAGGGACCTGCAAAACGTGGTCTCTCTTACAGGTTGATTCCCTTGTCCAGGGTCGTTTGACTGGAAAAAGCACCCCTTGGTTCTGGTTTCAGCGGTGTGCTAGGACAGGTGGCCGCCTTCTGAGTGTTCGCCTTGACATGCAGGTTTGACTGTATAGATGTCAATATCCCGGGAGGGACCTTATACAGTAGCGAGGTTTCACAGCAATCAAGTGCAGGGGTGCAGCAGCCAGTCCGGTCAAAGCACTTTTTCGCCCAGAATGCAGGATTTTGCACCCTAATTTCTAAAATTTCCCGGGGAGACCCCGACCCCCCCCTCCGGCTGCACCACCTCCAAAGGCGGCGCTACGCGCCTGAAGTGTGCGTCCGTCTGAGAGCCCTCAGCACAAGCAAGCTTTGCTTGATCTCACCGTTTCTCCTTTAGTTATGAACATCCAGGAAAACCCTAAGTAAAGATGCACCTACCAGATGACTCGAATTCAGACACGGAAATTCAGAACCTACAAAACAGAAAAAATGCTAACCTTTATATGGCTGATGGTGCCAGCACCAAAGCAATGTAGAAACTAAAAGCTAGTAAAAGTAATGGAAGATGCGTTCAATCCCCTGGTGAGAAGCATAGTCTAGTTATAAACAGAGAGAGAGAGAGAGAGAGAGAGAGAGAGAGAGAGAGAGAGAGAGAGAGAGAGAGAGAGAGAGAGAGAGAGAGAGAGAGAGAGAGAGATAGAGAGTTGCAAACTACTCGCTATAATTGTAGCGCTCACTGCTTTGAAATTGTGTACATGTAGTGTAGTGGGCCGTCTGCCCAGATGCAGCCATGATCAGTGTTGGGACATGGTCATATCCACTCACATGAACACACACACACACACACACACACACACACACACACACACACACACACACACACACACACTACTACTACTACTACTACTACTACTACTACTACTACTACTACTACTAGCAGCATGACTGCCCAGATGGGCAAGTGTCACCCCTATGAAAAGGGGACCAGAAAACGGGAGTCGGATCACAAGCAGGACCGCGAATGTCCGGCTAGGTCCTGCTGCCAACGGAAATTGCGTTTACAATGTGGGCAGCTGAGGGGCAGAGCTGCTCTCTCAGCAGCAGCAGCAGCAGCACACACACACACACACACACACGCACACACACACATGCACACACACATGAACACACACACATACACATACACACACACACACACACGCACACACACACACACACACACACACACACGCTGATCGGTTCGAAGTCAGAAACTGACGTAAACAGGGTCCAATCGAGAGCAACAGCGGGAACGCACACATCATTCATCTCCGCCCGTCAATTCAGATACTCATTAGCAGTTGCACACGCCCCGCAAGTGCCAAGCTTAGAGTGACAGCAGATACTGCAGCACTGCGACATCAGCTGCAGTTCACGTAACGTTGGCCAGTAACTCCACACCCTGTACTACTTGTCACACTAGCCATGGCGAGTCAAGGCAAGCTGCACCTATGATCACACCGCCTTCGTTGGAATCGGCCGCCTTCGTCCTCAGCAGAACTCCACCTGTTGCGTTCAGCTCCACTTTATCACAGTCCACAGATCTGTAGAGAGGAAGCACCGCATCATAATGGCACAAGAAATGACACGATTTGCGAGTTTAATAGTTTGGTGTTGGGCTGGTAGAGCAATTTTACGGCCCTTGTGAGGCTTAGTCAGACTATAACTGGGAACTGTGCTCATAGTGTTCACACCTGAACAATACCCACAGAGACGCAGCACAGTACATGGCTACACAAATAACAGAGACTACTGTACAGGCAGAACATTTAGGCGGCCAATAATTTCGCCCAGCTCCAAAGAAAGTTAGTTGGTCCGGTTGTAAATTTCGTACGTGGATCATAAAAGTGTATTGTATTGAAAAGCTGGACAAATCGACATTAGTCCAGCATCTAATTTAGTCCAAAAGCTCCTTGGATGAAAAAAACGAAATTAAATTCCAGCGGAATATTTCTGTTTACACATTATCATTGCTAAATATTGCGACAGAGCTTTCGGCCATATTTTCAATTCATTGCATTCCCAACTCATCACAACCACGCGCTCTTCAGCCGAACCATACAGACACCAGCAAGGACACTTCCGTTGAGAGATAATATTGCTCCACGCCTCTAGACAGCTGTTTCGCTCCCTGTCGGAGCTCATCAGTAGAGGATGATAATGATGATAATGGAGGAATGATCATTCTTATACACCAGAAATGGCGCAAGTGCGCGCTTTCCACATATATCAATGGCATATGCAAGCTGCTAAAATGGTAAAATGTGAGAACAGCGATAAATAATCATAGTACGCGCTCATTGGTGGAGAAACACACCACACAGGCAACGAAAATCTTACGCGGAATACTGATGCCAATGGAAAGTACATGTATATTGTTTATTATTAAAATGGCGTGGAGCAATATTATCTCTCAACGGAAGTGTCCTTGCTGGTGTCTGTATGGTTCGGCTGAAGAGCGCGTGGTTGTGATGAGTTGGGAATGCAATGAACATTATCATTGCGTGCAGATTATCAAGTTTCATTTTCTCTCTCTTTTAAAAAATAAATAAATTTGTTTTGCTTTTTCGTTAGTTGTGCCAGGCCAGTGATATGATGTGATGTGATTGCCCGTATATACGTATAAGAGGCTTTTTCACGCATGGCTACAAGATGGCGATGGTGCTCACCTGACGTACACACCATAGACGCCGAGCTCGCTGGCCGCGGACACTGGCCGCGTGTCCACGGATGAACACTTGGAGGTGACCAAGTAGTTAGTGTAGGTGGGCGGCAGGATGCGCTCCATCAGAATGTATGCACCTCGCGACGGGTCGCCGTCCAGACGCTGAAGCGCTTCACGGATATCGTCATCGTAAAGGTTATGGCCTGGGAGAGAGAGAGAGAGAGAGAGGGGGGGGGGGGGGAGGCAGATGCAGAGAAATGAGATAAGTACAGCATAAAAGCGGCGATCACAGCCACAACCGGTTTAGAACTCTACACTACAGTCAACTTTGCGTATAACGACAGTCGGCGGGGCATCAGAAAAGTATCCTTATTTTGCAAAGTGTCCTTATACCCGAAGTCTACGGTATACGTATTACAGTTAGATGAGACTTTTCTCTGGGCAAGGAAATTCTGTCGTTATTCGCGAAATGTCGTAATATCCGCAGTCAGTATTAGTGAAGTTGACTGTATATTAAAGTTCAAAGTTCTTCAAACTGGAAAAAGAGGAAACAAAGGTCGTACACGTTTGTGCTTTACACCAGTTTTACAATTGTGTGTAGAAACTAAGTTAGTACAAGTAGTACAGTAGTCCCTCTCTAATCCGGCACCTTTTGCTACGGCGTTTTCTGCTGGATTAACGAGGGTGCTGGATTAAGAAATCCTGCCCTCTGACCCGGCCCTACCCAATTGCATGCATGTATCATACGTCAAAACGCAGGGTTTTTCCGTGTCGACCCCAGTATTTGGTGCACGGCTTTATATTCTCAACTTTTCTCCAGGAATACACACAGTGATAAAGTAAAACAGAGAACATGTTCACATGTATACGTACTCTTGCACACACACGCACAGTCGATTTACGACTGCCGGATTATGAAATCAAACTACATACAGTTTGAGCGATTCGTTTAAAAAAGTCACTGCCGGAGGCGGAATTCAAGTGCCGGATTAAGATGTAGGAATTGAACGAAAAAAAATCGGTTTCGTCAGAAAGTGCGCCGGTTGGCAAGGGTTCCGGATAAACAAGTGCCGGATTAGAGAGGGACGACTGTATAACACAACAAGCTGAGATAGTAGGCACCTATACCATCAGCCCAGTCACAGTTTTACGCATGACCAATGGCGCTGCACAAGGCTATGCCCATGTCAGGTATGTGTGAATGCTCTCTTCTAGATCGATTATCATGCTCCAGAACGAATCATTCTTTGACCATACAACTCATACTTTTACACTAGACTTTATAGAAAGAAATCATGTAAATGTGGTGCCCGTAAAAGCACGTGTTCGCTAAGGGCGCGTTCAGACTACCGATAAAAAGTGACCGATTGGACAAGTTTCCAAGGTGGTTTGATCACGTGACGTTACTGGCACGCTACCGGCGGAAGCGTTTTACTGCCGCGGCTGCTGTGGCAGCAAAACCTTTCCGGCAGTAAAAAAGAGTGCTCAGGCTGGGAAAAAGGGAAAATCCCTTCTCAGTGCCGCGGTGAGAGCTGCAAAAGTTACATACCGGTAACGTTAGTTTATCGGTAGTGTGAATGTCCTTCACGGTTGATCGCCTTTCACGGTTTGACGGGATTCACGGTAGTCTGAACGCGCCCTAAGCAAAGAGATCACATGCACTGTGTTCTGGACAACGTGATGATTCTAGTGGATGCACACCCCACTGTCACAGTGTGAAGTGTGCATTTGTACCTATGATCTTTGTTTGCTATTATGTCACTCATAAACCATGTACAGTGTACTGTATACATTCATGTGGCTGTGCGCTGTCTGGCATGCCAGTTGCACCGTACACACTTTTTTTAGCTGCGCCTGCCTGGCTTTTCCTTTGATCTCTCAGTCGTTCTCCGCGTTCACACACACACACACACACACACACACACACACACACACACACACACACACACACACACACACACACACTTGTTAGTTCTTGTAAAAGACGCAAGTCACAAGATGTCTTTGGTGCGTTTGCAGAACCACCACATGCCTACAATGATCACACTCACCTCCGCCCTCTCTTTGCGGCTTCATGACGTAGCGCGACGGGTCAGTGAGTGCCAGTGCAGCCGCCTTATCGCCTTCCTCACCCTAATGCATGCATGCACACACAACAGTTATACGTCTGAGTGCACACACACGTGACACACACACACACACTCACACTCACACAGACACACACACACACTCACACAGACACACACACGCCTTGAACCTTGAACGCCCATTGCCGTAGCAATGACACGCACACGCACACACACACACACACACACACACACACACACTCTCTCTCTCTCTCTCTCACACACACACACACACGCACACATACACATGCACGCACACGCACACACACGCGCGCACGCACACACGCACACACACACGCACACACACACACACCCATGGGTCACCATGACTAATTCTTATTGAAATCTGTCATGGAGACGTATATTTTGAAGAGCCGTCTAAGCCAGTGAGCTTACAGCATTGATACAAACATGTTGTCTTATACTGGCACCACGCATACGATCCTATGGTTAAACAGAAGCTCATCCAACGACTAAACTATTAGCAATTCAACAGAACGTGTGTGAGAACATACCAGGTCCAAGCTCCACAGTTTGGCAAACACTGCTTGCATCTGGGCGGCCTTGCTTTCATCTGGAACAAATCTGTAGGAACAACAGAAAGTAGATCGACATATCAGGAATGAATGGCCACCTGGGATCATCACCACAGTGCACAAAACATTATCAACATCCTATTCGCACCGCGCACTGTAGTGTACCCAAGAGAAACTGCTACGATGAGCACAGCTTTATGCCGATGGAGGCTTACCACCAAGTGTCAATGTTCAGTTCCATCCATTTGCATAGACTGGTTCCATATCATTGCCATGCGACTAAACTTGTGTAGAAAGTGGTCATGTCATGTGTACAGTGGAACCAACATGGCTGCCCTATCTGGTCACGTGATAGAGGTTCAACACCATCGAGATCGGAATGGCTCATGCAACAAATCCAAGGATGATAAACGCTAAACAGTCGCACACAAACACAGTGCATGTCACGTTTGCAGTTTGCGTACCGGGAAAGAATGTCTGGATGTGCCAGCACCTGCTGGATTTTCTTTGCACCAACCAGCTGGTAGGGTATGGTCGGGCAGACAACACACCGAGCACGCTCTAGCGCCAGCCGTACTGCCCATTCCTGCGCGAAGGGGATACATGAGTAAGCATCACCGCCCACGCCCGGGTGCACACAACAGTGCGCACACGCATGCACCACGCATGCACGCAGAACGCACACACATGCATGCACCCACACCCCCACACACACCCGTACATACGACAAACACAGAATGCACATTGTACAGCTTGCTCAGTACATGCCCGGGTGCGGGCAACAGTGCGCACACGTATGCACCCACACACACCCCGCCGCGTGCACGCAGAGCGCACACACATGCATGAAGCACACACACGCCTGCATGCACACATCCGCATGCCCGCATACCCACACATACAACAACCACAGAATGCACGTCGTACAGCTTGCTCCAATACATATCAGCAGACACTGACTATGTGCAATGCATGCATGAACGTACAACTCATCACTTCCCATACTTCATTGAACACATGCGCAAAAAAACAGAAATTCAAGGCAAAATATAGTAGAACTCCCCAATTTCAGCGAAAATGGACACTGCCTGCGACTCAAAACGTACATAACCTTTTGTATGCAAATAAACACTTTATTTATTTATTCAACATCTTATGGTTTCCGATGGCAGCCAAAACTGGAAGATGTGGGTGATAGCCAACCATGGTAAAAAGAAGGAGAAGATTATATACATGAAAAGGAAACAGCCGAAAAGTTATATTGATTAGTTTTATTATTATTATGGTGCACTCAGTCATCAGCAGGCCCTCAGATTCACTTTAAATTCTTTCAATGATGCAGAAGTCTTCACTGAGTCGGGTAGTTGTAGCCACGCACAGTAGCCCTGGAAGAATGGCGATCTTGTGAATTGCGTTGACTTGGCCTTGGGAAGAGACACTTTGTTTCTGGTTGAGCGGCCCGAAACAAACCAGTTATAAGGCTTTATATGTTCAGGAACACAACCCAAGAGCATTCAATGAACCAATATACAGAGGCAAGTTAGTCGGCGTTGCTCTAGCGGAGTAGTCTGAGCTAATAAGTACAACTCATTGGAGGGAAAGGAAGGTTTCTTCGAGAACAAATTTTTTTAGAACTTTCTTATGATGAACTTCAATGGAATCGGATAAGACCTTAGCTAGGCCACACCAGGCTGTGGCAGCATATTCAAACAATGGAAGGAGATAAGTTTTATATATAGCTGAACGGCACGGAATAGAGAGATGTTTACAATGACTTTTAATATAGCCAAGAGCACGGCTGACTTTATTACAAATCTAATCTACATGAGCCGACCAGGACATGGATGAATCGAACATTACCCCTGTCAACGAACACTAATTTTGGGTGCAGTTTTTCGTTGAAAAGCCGATACATGTACTTTGCGATTCGGAGCGGTCAAAAGGGAACCTGGTAGGCCGCGGGGAGTGCCTGGAACTGGGGAGTCCAGATAAGGGAGTTTTGCTGCATACGCGCATCTGCGGCTTGCTCGATACATTCCAGTGCTTGAGGCACATGCATGCACAGATTGCATATCCATCTTTTTGTGAGAGTCGGCTCTTAGGATGACAAGAAGGCAACCATGCACGTTCAATTGGTGAAGTAAAACAATAATTATGGATAGAAGTTAACAACTACACCACCACTGCCTCCACCACTAGCATCACCGCCACGACAACCACCACAACCAGGATGATCACAACCAACAGCAGTGGCAGCAGCAGCAGCAGCAGTAGCATGCACATCATCTTGCACATACAGCACTTCAATGACCTCTCACCTCGTCCGTGGTGATCAGCTCAGGTACGTAGCAGGTACGCATGTACACAACCGCCACCTCCGTGTTGTCTCTGTCGTCCACCAGAAACACACACACACACACACGAACACAAAAGAGGACGTTTACGAGCAAGACACATTAGATTGCCGATATACGTATCCTCTTTATCTGAGCCAGTACACGCACAGGTATGTGCATGGTATTAGATGAACATGCTGTCAAACAACAACAGGTATGTACAGTGTACATGTACAAACATTTAAAACTGCCATGTGAATATTGCTTCGACTCGAAATATGCTACTATAATTTGTAAGTCAATACAACCTGTAATAGCAAGTTGCAAATGTAATAATTTTCCTAAACAGCAATTTGAAAACGTTTTTTAAAAGGGATACGGAACCATAGCCAATGGTGTGTGTGTGTATGTGTGTGTGCGTGTGTGTGTGTGCATGTGTGTGTGTGCGTGTGTGTGTGTGCGTGTGTGTGTGTGTGTGTGTGTGTGTGTGTGTGTGTGTGTGTGTGTGTGTGTGCATGCGTGTTGAATGCGCAACTTGCCCCACTTATCGTATTGTGTACAGCCAAAAGCACAACACATATTAGGTATTACAGGTTTCTGGGAATATATTCTCACAAAGAGACTTTACCACAAGAAGTTAAAATGGATTTACATGCTTCTGATAAAATTATAAAATTAATAATTTGTAATACCCTGTGTCTTACAGTATTCAGACAACTGTAGCAAATGCTGGCATTACTCTTTTCTATTATAAATAATAATTATATACCTTTTCACTGATGGTCCTTTATCACTGTCTTTTTCTCACTGTAGCTCCTCATTGTTGTTTTTTTACCAGGCGTGGGCCATCCCCTGATTTCATAGGTGCCAAAAAAAAATAGAGAAGAGAAAAAAAGAAAGAAAAGTTACATTACGAAACTCACATGTAATAACGTCGAGTTGCTTCATCTAGCCGACCTCGCTGGATCAAGTCAGGAAGCGATGCCCGGATCATACGAATGCCATGACTAATAAAGAGCAACAGAGCAGACAACATGACAGCCAGAGGACATGAGAAATCACTTGCCATCGATGTTTACCGGACCATCACACACCATCACACCACATAGGACACTAGCAAGCAACGAGCATAAAGTTGCTCAAAACAAAACATCCAGATGAACCACCAACTAGGCAACTTGGACTACCACTACCGCAACCTCGAGAATGTCACTGCATGGCACTCACTTCAGCAGCAATGGGTCAACGTATAATTGAATGAACGACTGTTCACGTGCGCGCGCTCATACACCTACATATCGTAATTGTCGAGGTACAATATGCACCCCTATAGGCCTTATGCACATTGTACAGATGCACGAAATCCCGTATAATCTTGTAGAATCCCGTAGACCCGGTTGGGTGTTGAATGTGCAGGACCCTATTGTGTTTACTGCTATTTCCACTATGAAATGGGCAATGAAGGCATTTCATACGAAATCTTTTTCCGGCAGAGATCTAGCTAGTCGTTAGTTCAATCCCAAAGTGAAGAAGGCTTGAAAAGTGATCGTTTGCCATGAATTGTGAGGCTAAATGGGTCAAACGCGCATGTATAGCACACAATGAACACCCAACCGGGTATGTACACACCTACGGCCATAGTACAGAACTTCGTACATCTGTACAATGTGCATAAGGACTATTGGACCACCCTTCTGTCAAATGTATACTTAGGTCCCAGTAATAGTTATACACATTACATACACAGCTTGCACCTCAGAGTACACGCGGCAACAGGGAGTGTTTTCTCAGCACTCCTGTCTGGTCGTTCGTCTACATGTCAAAACTGGACAAAAGCATGCAGATGGGAGTTCGAGCCCAACTTCGAGCACAACTAAAGTGCGCACTATACTCCAGCATACGCAGCACATTCATACCGATCCATCACATCGTGTGGGCGAAATTCAAACCGTGGGTATCACTCACTTCAGCATTAGTGCATTCTCCAGTGGATTCTGGTCAAAGATGTTGGTTTCACTGGCATGTGATAGCAGTATGACTACAGCCCTGTTGGAAACAAATCAACACAACAACAGCAGCATGTAAGAACGAGTGAAACTGCAACGCGGAACGGCCTTGTGTGTCGGAGATCTCAGAGCTACAAGTGATTGTTTTCCCTTGCCCATGACAGCAGCAATATGCTGGCACTTCATGCTGAGGGTTACTGAAAACACACAGACACACAACGACAAACACATGCATATCAAGTGCACACATGCGCCACACAAATGTGCGTGCACACACACACACATGCGCGCGCAACATACATGCAGACAGACACACCCACCCTCACACCCACAGACACACACACACAGACAGACAGACACACACACATGACCTACTTGGTTTCTCCATACACCGTCCACGCTGCCGCAATAGCCTTGGCCAAATTCGCCATCACGTTATTCTCAGGGAGCTGAAAAACAAAAAATACAAAAGCTTTCTTGCCTGCTATACAATTCAACACTGTATACAATTCTACACCACTGCTAATAATTATACTGTAATTATTAGCAGTGGTGTAGTAGTGAGTGTCGTGAACATAAAGTTAAAAACTAAAAGCCCTGCAAGAACAGAATGACACACATCTGACGAACATACGTCCATGTATTCGTTACAGCACATACATAGCTATGTTCAGGCACACACATACACACATGCACAGACACACACAACACACTTGTACTTGTACAGTCAGCTTCGCTTATAACGACACTCGGCGGGGCATCAACAAAGTGTCCTTATTCGCGAAGTGTCGTTATACCCGAAGTCTCATTATATGTATTACAGTTGGAAGGGACTTTGCTCTGGCATGGAAATGCTGTCGTTATTGGCGAATTGTCGTTATATCCGCAGTCGTTATTAGCGAAGTTGACTGTACTTGCTCACTGCCAAAACTGGTCACGTGGGTCTCCCCGGGAGACACACACACACACAACAAACACATACACACACAGCACACACACACCACTCGACGGGCACCGCAATTGGCAAGTCAGCCAGCTCAAAGTGACCCTACTGAACGCTTGAGATCTTCATTGCTCGTCCCAGCTATCCAGCCAAGCATGTATCTACAACGTAGCAAAAAGAGAATCACAGCACATCCTGATACATACTACCAAGAGTACATAACCCCCCAGAGCGTGCAACGCCGATCCAGCTCTGTGTAGGGTCTTGGTCGAGCGGAATCGGATCTTCTGATGTCATGCGTACACTTCACACCAGCGCAAGGCCGGTCTCGAGGCAGGGCACCATTGTTTTTGATCCAAGAGTACCCGCGACTCCCTGGGTTCCCCTCAGATGTGTACGGTATTATGACGCAAAGATCCGATTCCGCTCGACCAAGACCCTATGGCTATGCAGAGCTGGATCAGGCGTTGCACACTCTGGGGGGTTATGTACTCTTGATACTACGCTACTTGGATCTGACAAGGTCTGCAAAGAAGCAACATACAAACAGTCACACTGCAATGGGTACAGTACTACTAGTAGCTGTCGGGGTTGCAAGTGATGATAAGCACACTCACCGCATTACTCACATCCCACTGCTTCAGTTTAGGAGCTGCATCTATGCCTTGATCGTTGAGGGGGTGGCGGTGTTCTTACAGACGCGCTAAACTCAGTCCAACTGACTCGTGCCAACTGTGATATATTTTTTTAAATTGCCGCATTTTCGGCAACACTGGAGATTTTGAAACAAGGCGTAGATGCAGCATTCCCACTGATGGCACTGTACAAACATGACTGGGGGGGGGGGGGGGGGGGGGGGGGGGTAGCAGAATCAAACCCTTGAGCCCTGGCCACAACCAAACTTTCATCTTCACTAGAATGACCGTCCGTACCTATGGTATTCGGGCATTCGGCCGGCCAGCGCGCCAAACGACGCTGCGATCGTGTTGATCTCAATCTGCTTGAACGGACACTTGGCCACGTAAGGCAGAGGTCGCACGGATGATTGGGAACCGTCGCCGCCGGCACACTCAAGATACGGCGGGCATTTGACGCCACTGCAAACCGAGGAGGACGTCGTCGTTGCCGTGGAATCAGTTGCTGTGGCAGCAGCATCCCGTTCTGCTCTGGCTTCGGCAGAGAAGTGGAGCATGTAGTCGGCACGATGGATACCAAGAATGGCGGGCTATACAGAGAAAAACAAAGACCGGAGAAGAGCACAAGGACACTCACAATCAGCTTAAAAATAAAGAGGTGTTATCATTGCCTTTTTCAAGGGCATGCCGGCAGTATCTATTGGATTGTATTTAATTAATTATTATTGGAAGAATTTGTAGCCAAGAGACCGTTTTTGGGTAGTGGTGTATAACTGTGTGAACATGAACTGTGACTACCGTGGAGTCTGCACACCTTTAGGAAAGTATCTATCGAAGTGCAGGCTTTGTGCAAGACTTTTGTTTCTCGCGCATATCGACAGCACGTGTCCACAGCTATTATGCATGCCCACTACACAGCTCTCACGCATGTCCACTGCCCACAATACACTTTTCCGGCATGTTGGCCAACAAATGTGCCGGCATCAAAGGCCACTTGCTGACACAGTCTTCGGGTGCTGAGGAACTGCAGGAATTTAATAATAAGAGAGCAAGCGACAAGGACTGCACCCACAGCAAGTACAGTAAAACCTGTCAAGGCGACCACTCTGATCAGGCGACCACCTTCCCCCAGCTGACTACTGAAACCAGGATCAACGGATGCTTTTTCTAGTCACATGACCCTGGATGAGAAGACCGCCTGTACACGACGACCAACAGTTAAAAGGCCTCTTGAGTGGTCGCCTTAGACAGGTTTCACTGGATTTCACCTAGGCTACAAGTTGCCGACTGACCTTCACGTAGCCTTCCTTATGCACCGACAGGTAGATGGTGTACAAGCGGTGCTGGAACTCATCGTGGAGGCTGTGTCGCATAGGCACGCAGGGAACAGAGTCAGAAAACTCCACTTAGACGTAACGAACACCAGCAAGCACAACTACAGGAGTCAGAAATTTGTTCGTGGTTTTACAAAATTAGGACAGGTATACCACGGCAAAAGGCACGAAGAAGCAAAGTCCAGCATCAAATTTAAAAGTCGGCTTATACATGTAGGGCTAAATTCAGCCAAAATTGGGTTTTCTGCCCTCTCCGCCGACCTTGTTCACCACACCAGCAACACGACTCCAAATTCTAGTAGACACTGATATTGATTGCATCGTACAGCTGTTTTGATCATACAGATCTTATCAGTGAAGGTTGCGAGAGCACTGAATGGCCAGAACTTGTGAATAGGACTCTTTTTTTTTTATACGGAGAATTAAGCGGGATTCACAGAAGCTTTTTTGCGATGCGACACGCGATGCGACAGCCGCGAAACCGGGAAATCCCCAAATCGCAACCATCGCGGACCCCACGCAACTGCCGCAACAGGGCCATCGCAGGCCATCGCAGAAGTTGAGCTTGGCTCAACTTTTGCGATGCGATGCGACAAGCGATTTGGCGTACGATTTTGACCTTTTCTACAGCAAAGTTGTACAAAGGTTCAAGAGTTGCCTATAAATTTGTACAAGCTGTATCAAACCGCGCGAATATCATGGTGACGTAGCCAAATCAGCAAGATTTTGTCGCATCACTGACTTCTTCTGTGAATGGTATTTCGCGAGTTCGCATCGCACGCGTCCGTCGCAGATCGCGTTGCATCGCGTGTCGGTTTGCCAAAAAGCTTCTGTGAATCCCGCTTAACTGTGAAAATGAAGAAGCAGTGCAATCGTGCACTTTGGGGTGACGTAAGGAAAAACACACGGAAATACAGTAAAACCTGTAACTAAAGACCACCGTGACTAGCGACCAGCCTGGTACTACAGTAAAACCTGTAACTAAAGACCACCGTGACTAGCGACCAGCCTGGTACTACAGACGACTTCGCCTGGCACGGACGATCTCACATCCATTGTATGTGCGACCGTGCGGTGCAAACCTCTAACTAAGGACCACCTGCCACTAAAGACCGCTTTCTCTGGCCCCAAGGGGTGGTCGTTAGCCACAATTTTTACTGTAGTGCAAGATCACACTGATACGTGCAAGGTACTGCAGACATAGATATACACGTGATACTGTAGGTGCAAACTGTCACACCGCGCTAAATAACGCGCTGAATGTTGAAGTGACAATTCAGGCGTGTGTGTGCACGTGTGTGTGTGTGTGTGTGTGTGTGTGTGTGTTGCTATGTGTCTAAAATAGCGGTTTGCTACCAACGCTTCCGCACTGGGCATGTGAAAGTGAAGCGAAAGTGAAGTGTGTACGTGTGCGTGCGTGAGTGTGTGTTAAAAGCGCGCTATGACCTTTCGCGTCTACATTATTGCACGTATGTAGTATCTAATTCTATCTATGTCTGCAACACCTAACACACATCAGTGTGATCTTCCACCTATTCTCCATGTGTTAGCACTCATGTAACTTCAAAGCGCACGACTGCTCCACTTCTTCACTTTCACGGCAATCCTATATATATATATATATATATATATATATTATACAAAGTGCTATTTACAAGTTCTAGCCATTCGGCACTCTACAACCTTGGCTGGTGGGATATGTATGATGGAAACAGCTGTATGAAGCAATCAATAGCAGTATGTACTATCTACTTAGCTTGGAGTCGTGCAGTTATTGCGGTGAGCAAGATCGCAGGGAGCATGTGCTGGGGAGTTACGACTAAAATGATGAACAGGCTGGAAGCTGCTGCGTATGCTCCTGACTAACTTTACATTCCGTCCGAACATTGATTTGGAGTTGCACACTCTTGAGAGGTGGTGTAAGGTAGGTACTCTTCCTATCACGGTAAGGTATCGTCACAGTGTGCCAACTTGATGTAAGTTACAGCCGGGAAAAGGCAGCAGCGGATCCGGCGATCTCTACAGGGCGGTTTCCAGTAGTCAAAACTGAATAGCTGAAACATGTACAAGGGCACACATATGGTTGCCAGTAGTACATTTACGAAATTTCGGGGGTTCCGCGGAACCCCTCCTGGATCCGTCCCTGAAAGGAACTGCGTATGGCTGGATGCGGCACACCTCCCTATGACGAGAAGCTATGCAAGTACATGTACATCTGTACAGTGAACTGAAGCATACCGAGTACAGCAAAACTCCCCTAATCCGGGCAGGTCGGGACCGGGCGCTGTCCGTAACTAGGAATTGCCCATAACTCAGAACATACAAAGTTGAAACTCATTGAAGGCAAGAAAACGTTATGCCAACCAATAGTTTTGGAGCTGTTTTTCGTCGAGGAGCCGATATTAGCGACTCTAGAGCGGTCAGGAAGGTGCCCGGCAGACGGGCATGCCCGGATTATGGTGTCCGAATAAGGGGAGTTTTACTGTAAAAATACTTGTGCTGCAGCCCGGAGCTAGCCCATTGTTGTGCTGAGTTACCCACTGCTTAGGGCGAATTGAATGTGGATTGGCTGCACCGCATGCAATGTGTGTACAATGCCCTGGCTGTGTGAGTTTCAATCAAGACTCGCTCATGCGCACCAACTCCAACACATAGTCACAAAGGGGTCCAGGTGGTGGGGTACCTCTGTGGTACTTTACGGCTTAGGAGAGCTCCCCATATCCACTGGGCACACCGCGGCACAGGCACATAATCCCTGTCCACAAATCCGTCATGCCAGGCCAAGGGTTCCCGATTGACAACGAGTGTGTGTAAGTGTATGGATTGTGTGTGTATGCGTGCACATGCAAGCATGTGCCTGTGTGTGCACGTGCACTTGCACGCATGTGTTACAGCATGGGAGGAATAAGGACATTAAGGTCATGCACATGCTGACCATGTACCAGTGTAGTGTACAGCCTTTAGCCAGCATCCTGAGGTACTCTTCCGGCAATCTTGTGTTTGAATTTCCATACACCGGTGGACCATCACTGACCCTGCAGTAAATCTAGTGGGCAAACATTGGCCAAAGAGATCTGAACGAATGAATAAAACGGCACAAGGCATTCTGCAGTTTTGTATGCATGTCCTGCAGCTCCACAAACAACTGATCGCGTCGTCCTATTGCCATGTACTAGTACCCATGCCGGGTACATCACTAGCCGAATTGTTCGTGGATCGACAGTAAAATGTAATTCAAAAGTGATACTGGTACTACCAAGAGTACACAACCATGGGGGTTATGTACTCTTGGTAGTACCAGTAGGGGATTTGAGTTATACTGTATATACACCGAGATACCCTATAGTATTATATAGGCCTACCCCGCGGAATTTCCAAAATGCAAAAATGGTGACTGCTTACTTTTCAAATACTTCACAGAGAAATGTGTGGTCCCGGCTGACTGTGTCCACCAACTCATTGAACAGAGGCTGTATAGCTCTAAGCTCATCCAAACCTGACTGCGGGATAGGACTCGGGTAGAGGGTTGCTGGGCTGTGCACCAGCTGGCCCTCGCCGTTCAACATCAGGCTCCCATGGCCCTCCAGAAATCGTTTTGCTCTATCGACGAGTAGTGCTGAGGACTCCATTCCACCAACGTATTAGTTAAAATTCTGGTACATGTACATGTAGCAAAAATACTACAGTCGTCGCGTCGCGTTTCACAACCCAGAGCAGCCCAGTAAAGTAAGTTAGTTTCTTCGAAGGGCACGTGTTGAATCTGTTTCTTTTCGAAGCTGTTTAGTTGTTCTGCACATTTTTTGAATGTTTCTGGAACACAGCCCTACGTGTACCTTGCCCGATATAATTATTACAAGCTGAGTAAAAATATTGGACTGGCAATGTTCACTTGCTACTACTTAGTACGATTGCCGACGGAATGCCAAAGTGGAGGGGAAGGGCCCTGCATTTGTTTGCCTTCTGTGTTAGATAACGATAATGGAAAGCACAGGAGTCAGCAACTCCACAACAAACAGGACCTGGAGCACCTCCGTGAGATGGTAAATGACCGGAACTCATGGTGCGAACTGTCCCCGAAGGTCTGTGGCCGGGAAGCAGCTTGTTATTTACCCTGTTACATACATGTTGTTGTGATAATCACAAAGAGGAAAGACTCGACTATGTTCAACAGTTGCTGTTCAAGTAAAACTACAGCTTTTACTAAAGTAAAACTAAAAGCTGGCAATTAATAATAATTACCTTTTCAAGTAACAGTTTTTGTCCACACAAATTTTGTAATTGTATGTCACACGGCTGTTCCCACTTGGCCATCTAACAATATGGCGGCTTTTGCGCCGTTTTTGACAAATCCCAACGGTATTTTATAATACGAAGCGAATTATTACATTTTCACATCAAAACCATGACGAACCGAATTTTTGTACTTGCTGACACGCGCGTCAGACGAGTCCTCGATCGCCTCGAAAATATTATGGTGAGGAAAGAGATTGAGATGAGAACAAAGGAAACAATTATTTTGAGAGGAGAGAAAGCTAAAGAGCTCGATGGAAGGCCGAGAATTTCAGATACTAGTAGGCCAGCAAACAAGATGCAGAGATGCACTAACTTTACTGCGAGGATTTCCTCTTCCTGCTGACTGGACGGAGCGACTCGTGTTGTGGGAGAGTTGCAATCAAATGCGTCTGTGCAACAGACTTGAGGCGCTCCAAGGGATTGCGGATGGCCTCGTGGTGTCTCCTTAGCTCGTTGAAGCGGGCGTGAATGCTCTCACTCCCTTGCTCTGCGAGGAGACCAAGACCAACGCCTCGCCGTCGGATGGACGGCACGACATGCACCTCCAACATTGTGCAATTTCGGCGTGATGTGGCCGAGCTTTTTGCTGACGACGATATCTCTGCATGCAGTCATAAATGTCTCCACCAAGCCTTCTAGCTTGGATATGGTGGCCTCGTTCACAGGCCTGCAGTGGCTGAAGAGGGCAGTGCACTCGCCATACAGGGACATCAGGTGCTGGTAATCCTCATGAATTCGATTTGCCTCCGGGAGCAGCAGTGGCGCACGAGAAGCTACTGCAGATAAATGTGCTGGGGTTATTTCAGTTGTCACTGCTGGCTGAAGAGCTATGTGCACATGGTTGCCCACAAAAGCACCTCCATGGTATGCTTGCCTATCGATTCCATTGCGCTGGAAAACTGGCTCGATGCTTGCTCAACATGGCCCCTCACACTTTTTGTTCTGTTTTATTGCGGCCATTTGGTCGGTGAGTGACTGTCTCCACGCAAGCAATACAGTACGGCGTGCATCACCATTCTTCCACTGGTCTTGTAGGTGTTGTGTCACGCTCTCCACTGTGGCAGCAGGTATCAAGCTGAGAAAAGAGAACAATGTACTGGACTTGCTGCTGCACTACATGTAGTTGTTGGGTAACTGCAGAAATCTCCTCATCCGTTTTGCTGGCTTCATGCAGTGACGAAAGCTTTTCAAAGCTGCCAGCATCACCAGCTACTGCTGTAGCAGCAATGGCTGCAAGGATGACAGTGGCAGCAGGAACGCCTGCAGGAGCGACAGTGGCTGCAGGGACGGCAGTGGCAGCAGGGACGGCAGTGGCAGCAGGAACGGCTGCAAGGACGGCTGCAGGGACAGCAGCAGGAACGGCTGCAGGGACGGCAGTGGCAGCAGGAACGGCGGCAGTGGCAGCAGGAACGACGGCAGGGACGGCAGTGGCAGCAGAAACAGCGGCGGTGTCTGCTGTAGTAGCAACGGTGGCAGGAACGGCGGTGTCTGCAGCAGCTGTTCTTCTGGCAAGCTCAATGTCGAGGGCTTTGAGCTCAGCCTGAAAAGCAGTCAGCATCCATGGGAAAATACCCAGATCCAGATGAAGAGTCAGGATTACAACATTCTCCTCAGGAATAGGTAAGATCACTGGACGTATGCTGTTGTTGTAGTTCTTTGCATTCTTTAGATTTGAGCCACTGTTCGTGAATCCAGTGAAATCGTTGTACAGAGTTTCTAGTGTTCTGCTGGTAGAATCGGCATCTGGGTTTAGGGCTGGTGGAATGTCCATATTCTTCTTCTGACATAGACAGTGTAAGCATGGTCGGTGCCACTGGACCCCGACAAACCATATGCTTTCGTTTGATATTCGTAGTCGCCAAAGAAAAACAATTTGAACGACTTGTTCTTCCATGTTGCTGTTGTTTGCAGATTTCTGACACCGTCACGATAGACTCCTAGCGCGGTTTCAAGGTTCGATGGCGTGTCTTGTGCCTCGAAGATGCAAATCGGGATAGTGTTGAGGAGTGAATTCGGCCGCTGCACATTCACGATCTGCGGGACAAACTTGAAAGATCCTCCGCCGTGATCACCACCGAGTTTGATCCACAGTGGACGGACCAGTTCGCAAGCAGTTGACAGAACAGGTCGCTTGGCTTTGCCAGTTCTGAAGCACGCAGGGTATGTTGGCAGGCTGGACACTGCGCACCGTTGGTTAATGTTTGGCATATGCATTTCGTGCAAAATACTCTAGAACAGCATGGTGACCGAACACCATTGCTCGGCATGCTGCGGCAGATCATGCATTGTACTGTGGCTGCTGCACTGCTGTCGGCAAATCTTGACATAGTCAAATTGCACTCTGCTTCATAATCAGGCGCAGATATGTCATGCGCCTCACTTTCAGGTATATCCATGCTATTGCTAGATGCATAGGGTTTACCGGGTGTTAGCGGCCGTCGTGAGTTCCCTTCGGGAACGGACACGATAATTTACTTTTTACTTTTATTGCTAGATGCACATGCACTGCTACTGCTTGATGTCATTTTTGCTGCATGCTCCGCTTGCTGTTTTTATCCGTTTGCTTGGTCGGCCACCCTTCGATTTTTCTTGAAACTTGGTGCAGACTCTGCAAATCACAGGTTCATGTCTTTTCTAACTAAATGTTACCCCTTGTCCACAACCACCGCCACTGGGATTGAACTTCTCTGTGCTCTGTGATCTCTTCAGCACTCTTTGGCAAAGAGCACAGATATATGTTGGGTGAATGGTAGGGTCGTCATTACAAACATCAATACTGAATACGTTTTTCATCGTTTCAGTGTAGTCAGACATTGGATATCTCGTCTGTTGGGAGCACGCAGTAAATTTTGCGCCTCCAACACGGCATAGATGCTGTAAATGCGCTGCATGGTGCTCCATGTCGTGCGATGCGTCGCAGATGTGCATATCTCCCACTGGAAACAGAGAAAAGTAAAGGCCCATCGTATTTTTGATTTCACCATCGTATTCAAAAGAACTTGCGAAAATATAACGGACAACTACCCGAGGATGCGAGGAAAACCTCGAGTGGTGACTGAATAACTCCAGAAGACGTACCACGAGCGTGATGAAGGTAGCTAACAATATACTGACAGCAATTTCAGTCGATAATTCCGCTGCGCCAAAACAGAAAGCAACTTCCTTCTCCTTCGTCCGATCAAGGAATGTTTGGTACCAAAATGTCGCTGTGCGCGTCAGCTTGAGGTATATTATGCTCGGCAGGCCGCGAAAGAGAGCCCGTTACCTGGACTCCTACTCGCGCGGGTAGAGCGAAACTGAGCACCCTGGGATGCGAGCAGCTTTTTAGTACTCCCGCGTCCAAAATCTCACCACCAGGCCGGGATGATCAAAACGTCTGCCGGGTCTGCAGCCTACAAACGTGGATCTGCCGACACTGTGCTGTCGACGATATGTCCGGCAAGGCACCTCCTTTGCGTGAAAGCAAGAGTACATAACTACACACGTGTAGTTATGTACTCTTGGTGAAAGCAAGGAACGCTTTTTTTTTAGAAAGGAAGCTTCTTCTCCAAAATTTAAAATTTTTGAAAATTATTCCTTCTGAAAATATCATCGCGTTCTTGACCTCGAAGCTGACTGCTGAATGCGATTAGGAAAGAAGATTCCTGAAGATACACCAGACTGATTTTGGCAAGCCGTCTGTCGTCTAGATATGCAGTTGTTCGTCATGCATGGTCAGCAATCTTCCTCGTTCGTCCTTTCGTTTTCCTGACCACGATGATGACAAGCAGCTCTCATGCTCAGGTTAGTGCTGTACTTGTATGTCTGGGCACACAACACATCTGAGATTCACCCACTGACGTTATCGAACTGAAGAATGCAGCAAGGGTTCCTCGGATTCTCTTGATTTCGGAACAAATTTCCTTCACTTTCACCCTCTCAGTCTCTTCCCCATGCCCTCCATGCATGCACAATGCAGCTTGCATTTCAATTGCTGTTTTTTATACTTTGGCAGTGCCTCTGCTACACTTTCATATAGAGTGAGGTCCTGTAAATAGGATCGAACATTGTTGGTGGTGGTGTGTGTGTGTGTGTGGGGGGGGGGGGGGGGGGGTACGTTTGCAGCCAGGATGTAGGAATGACACTTCTGCACAGCAGGTGGCAATAGTCAAAACTGGTCACTCTACAAATCCCATACCTGCCAACCTTTGCAAACCTGAGATCCAATGACATACCTAGGCATGAAAATGTATACAAAAGAAGCTCGCGGTGAGGCATGGAACTAGTGCACTTTTGGGTGCCTATTACCGCCCTCGATATCGGGACGGTCCCGGCCAAATCGGGATGGTTGTCAGGTATGAAATCCCAACCGAGAAAACCATTTAATTAAAGGATAAACTCGGCCAGGACATAGCGACTTTCTGTTTGCCGGGGGGGGGGGGGTCATCGTCCGCAATATTGGTAGAGTTACGGTTACATTGTATATGTAGATACATGTGCATCAGGGATTCATAGCACCTGGGGAGACGACATGAGACCTAAGTACCCAAAACGTTGTGAGTTGTGACCCCGGATGGGGTAGTTCTACGTGATCTGTGTTTCTATAGACCTTATTCGATAACGTGATTTTTGGACTCGCCTCCAGGGATTTGTTGTAAGCTGGGGCACGCGCACGTGAAACGAGTGGCAAGAAAGGCCCAGTTCGTACAAGGGAGTAGTAAAATACCGGTATTTTTCTACTCCTATGTTCCCACGCCGAGTCCACTGTGCACTGAGTGCAGGTCTCTTGCCGCTCCCTGGTTCCCGGGACCCTGGTTCACGTGATTGTGACGTTTATTGAATAAGGTCTACATGTGTGATAACTCGCTCGGGGAGCGTGTCGGTTAGTCTCGCCCATGGCTGTGTCGTCTCTAACCCTCGGAACGTTTTGTGACAAGTATAGTCACGGCTGGCATAACGCAACTTCACCCAGTCCTAACCCAACACACACATAACCAACTGATCTCGTCAGAGCAGAGAATATGTTCCTGTTTGGAAGAAGAGCACCGAAAGAACCTCCCGCTAAAAGCAACAGCATGCTATGATATAACACATTGTAGAAAACAGCAAGCAGCGGCAGTAGCGATAGTACTTGCTAAACATGCAGCTAAACTGCTACTTTGTCCGCTGCGCGGAACGGCGATCGGACACGCACACGCACACACATACACGCGCGTACGCACAGGTCTGCGGGATCTAGAAGCGGCTGTCATCATAAGATACGCAAAGTGTGAAAGGGTATTAGAACGGGGCAAGCCTAGACCCGGCGTCTGGACCGCAACATGTACTTGATTAAAAGCATAGCCAGTCAATGGTCAAGCAGGTGCAATCACGCATATCCACACCTAGCGTACTACTACTATAAAGCGAATTCATAACTACAGGTATTGCACTTTCTACTGCAAATACACAGTCGTGCGCTTCATCTATTGACAGCAGCCAAACCTATCATTTTACAGTCTCACTGGGTAGGTGACCTCGCCGGCACACACCGTATAGTATATTGTACAATAACTGTTCCAACTACGGTCCGGAAGACACAGTGTGTCCACGTTCTACGCACAGTAGCTATCAGCAGTAAGTTAAAAGTTACAAGCCCTCACTCTCGGGCTATGACATCTCCCCGCGCCTTCGAAAAGACTGCCACGTCCTCGTGGCGACAACATTCGGCTTACCGTCGTCTTCTCAACTGGGTTTGCATTCCAAAATACTGCGGTGGCCGGACGGTCCTCCCAGCTCGAGTCTGAACCGCAATCTGGGCTGGTTGTGGCGGTGGTTGGTTGACTGGTAGCGGGATCTGCACAACTGGTTGGCCGCCAACACCGTCCACGCCGCCATACGTCTCATGCTGGGCATCCTCATCAGAATCCCAATACAACAAGTCTGTAGGGTCCGGCACATACACATCAGCCGGGGGCGTTTCGACAGACTCAGCATCTTCAGGTTCCTTCACCTCACTCACAACGAATCTGGTGATACGTTCTAGTCACGCCTAAGTGACCTAGATGATCATGGTACTCACTCAGCACCTGACCGCGCAACGCAACTGGCACCAAAATTTGAAACTTTGTGCCCTCTCCTGCGTTCTCACTGTGCAAAACGCGACATATCACGTCCTCTCGCACCACAAGACATTTTCGTCCTCGGAAATAATGCCTCAGAGCCGGACTCACACCAGTCAAGTCAGGCGAAGATGACCCGGAGCTGAGCCACTCACTCAGCCGTGTCAATTCATGATCACGTTGCTGAACATCAGCCCAATCAGCTGATGTCCAGTTTCGTCGCCGCACAAAGGGCGTAGGAAGGTCACTCTGGACCGACTCAGCATTCGCCACTGAGCTCCTTTCGTCTGATACCACAGCAATCACCTCATCAGGGACTGTGGTGCCACACCTCTGATCCTGCACTTGTCGAGACAAGCCATCAGCATTGGCATGGACTTTACCTTTCCGATAACGCACCTCGTAATCGAAATCACTCAGAAACTCAAGCCACCGCGCCACGATCGCACTTGGTTCTTTGAAACGGTTCAGGTATTTTAGTGCTTGATGGTCTGTGCGCACGACAAACCTTCGACCAAGCAAATAGCATCTGAAATGCCTAAATGCCCACACTAGTCCGAGGAGTTCACTCTTCGTTGAGCCATAATTCCTCTCGGCAGAGTTCAACCCTCTGCTTGCATACGCAATAGGTCGCTCCCGACCATCTGCGTCGGTCTGGGACAACACAGCTCCCAAACCATGGCCACTTGCGTCCACATCGACTACAAATGGGGGCGCATCGGTCTCAAACCTCGGATACGCCAACGTGGGTGCTGAAGACATCTTCTGTTTCAGCAATTGGAATGCGATCTCACACTCGCCATCCCATGAAAACCTCTGATTTTGCCTCGTCAGCTTCACCAGCGGCCGAGAAATGGATGCATAATCCTTCACAAACCGTCGATAGTAGCCACAGAAACCCATAAAAGAACGCACCTCTGCTACGTTCTTTGGGCACCGCCACTCTGACACGGTCTCAATCTTGTCCGGATCGGTGCGCACACCATCCCAAGGCCGGAGGAAGGAGTTCGGGAGTGGTCCGGCCAACCTTTGAGGGGGGTGTGGGGGACCTCCCCCGGGAGAAATATTTAAAATTTACGTGAAATAGAGCGAATTTGGGCATCTCTAAGCCGGACTAAGGCTCCAGAAAATGCAGAAAATTATAGTAAAAGAACACAAACACAACTTTTTTATCCATATCAGCCATACAGTGCCGGTCACGGAGTCCTGAGTCATGAGCTACTTCGAAGCACATCACACGTCAGCAGTACAGTCGAGTCATGTACCTCTGGATTTTTTTACACCGGTTTTGCACGAATCACATGGACCATCCAGCTGGGAAAGTGGTCCGGCCATGGCCGGACCAGCCTGACCGGTTCCGCCGGCCCTGCATCCTTCGTGACAACATGACCCAAGAAATTGACTTCTGTCCTCAACAGATGACATTTCGAGGGTTTCAACCGAAGACCAGCCTCCAGTAGTCTTTGGAACACTGCTTCCAGTCGTTCCAAGTGTTCGTCAAACGTCTTTGAGAACACGATAATATCATCGAGGTATACCAGGCACATCTGCCACTGCAAACCTCGCAAAACGGCACTCATCAGCCGTTGAAATGAGCTCGGGCCATTGCACACACCAAATGGCATCACATTGAACTCATAGTGCCCATCAGGCGTGGAAAATGCCGTCTTGGCCTTGTCTGCCTCGTCCATTGGCATCTGATGATACCCAGAGCACAGATCAAGCGTCGAGAAGTACATCGCACCGCCCAACGCGTCCAACGTATCATCAATACGCGGGAGTGGGTATGGATCTTTCACGGTTATTGCATTGACTCTCCGATAATCAACACAGAACCTCGTCGATCCGTCCTTCTTCCGCACCAACACAACTGGTGAAGACCATGGACTGACCGATTCTTCGATCACACCCTGTTCAAGCATGTTGTCAACCAACTTCCGACATGTTTCTCGCGAGCTCCAAGGCAATCTCCTTGCGGGCTCATAAACTGGACCATCACAGCTAGTCCTAATCTCGTGTTTCAACACGTCTGTCCGACCCAGCTCGGACATGTTCATAGCGAATACACATCTGTACTGCTCGACCAAGGTTCTGAGCCTAGCCAACTGCTCGGCCTCAACCACAGGCTGCTCGCTGTTGCCTGTATCAGGTGGGGAGCATGCCTCCCGGTTACCCTCCTGAGAGCAACAGCCATCAGGCATCGTACCACGACCACGCTCGTCAACGTCGGCCTCGTGTACTGCCTCATCATCCCTCATCGCACAATGGTGTGACCGACCATCGTCATCACCACCACCGGTTTCAAGCAGCCTCTTCCCGCCTGGAGAGCGCTTCCCTGCGCCGGGACCACCATCGGGGTTCCCCACTCGCAGTACAGACCACAAATTCTGGTTAGCCCCGTAGCTACACCAGTCATTCGCCTCGTCCAACTCTTCACTACCGTCCACCACAGTTGCAACTGCACACAGCTTGCCAATCTGGGCTCTCTTGGGCAGAGTGATTTGTTCCGCCGTGCAATTCATCAATCGCACGGGAACACGATTCTCTTGTGGCCGCACAACACACTTTGCCACCAAGAGACCAGGGTCGCTCGCAGTCCCACAATCTGGTTCCGTGAGCCCCAACTCTGGCATCCCATCGAATGCAAGAGTGTCCACCACAGCCGCCACGGTCATCTCGTGGTGTGGTGGGAGAACAATCTTCTCCTGCAAGCGGAGCGGAGCCTCATCTGCACCACCCCCTCGCCTTTCTTCGACCTTGAAACATAGCTTGCCATTCGCAGAGGTTATGTTACAGGGAATGCTGGACAGCACATCACGTCCCAGCACACATGGAAATCGTAGCCCATCGACTACCCGCATTTCCGGCGAACAAACACATCCTTGAACGCCAAGGTGAACAACCACTTTTCCATTCACCACCAGAGGCTTACCATCTGCCCCACAAAACTTCAACCCAGGCGCATCCGCCGTGAGTCGATCCGGATCGTAGCCCAGCTTCCTGGCTAGATCCGCAGATACTAAGCTTACAGCCGCTCTAGTATCTACCAGCATCTCCACTGACAACCCATCGATTGTCCCCGTGGTCAACATCCCCGTTCCAGAGTCGCATCCGACCATAGGAATGGATTGTTCGACAGCACGCTCATCAGGTGCTGTCGGATTACACTCTCGACCCAAAGAAATGGTCTGACCAGGCACGTGGGCCATCGCCCCAGTCACCGGCCGTTTCCCAAAGGCCCTCTCCTCGAGCCATCGTATCCTCCGCGCCCCGTCTGCGCTTCACGAGGACATTGGGCTGCCCTGTGGCCCGGTTCACCACAGTTCCAACAAGTGAACATCTTCACTCGTCGAGCGGGCTCCTGATCCCGAGTTCTTCCTCGGCCTCGCCCTCCTTGACCACTTGGAGCATCACGCCTCTCCAGTAGTTGGTCGAGCGTCCTCACCAGGCTGCTCAAGGTACGCTCGAGGACGTCCGTCTGTCCTCTCGCTGGAGCCTCAGCAACATCCACAGCGGCCGTCACCAACTGTGTTTGCTGGCTCTCTCCGTAGGGGCCCACCAGCCTCTGCGGAGCTTCGCTTGGCAAGTCAACACTTCGCCAAACCTTTTCCAGGTGCAGCGCCATCTCTAATGCCGCCTGCACCGTCGCCGGAGGATTCTCTTGCAGCCTCACTCTCAAAGCCACAGGAGATACCGCCTCGATGAACTGGTCCCTCACCAGCTCATCCTGTAACCCACCCGGCATGTTGGGGTACGCCCGCACCACCAGCCGACGCAGATCATCCGCCAGATGCGCTAAATCCTCACCGGATTTACGCCTCCTCGTGCGGAATTGAGCCTTAAACTGCCGCTCATTAGCAGGTGGTGCGAACCTTCGCTCAAGGTCCGCACTCACATGCTGCCATACGGCCCGTCTTGCAGCCGGTATAGTAGCCAAAAAGCGTTGCGCCCCACCTCTGAGGCGTACCGCTAAGTACTGCGCTTTCTGCGGGTCATTCCACCCGTTCACCAGCGCGCACTGATCGAAGTACTGGATATACTCCACCCAGTCTCCGGAACCATCGTAGGCCTCGGGCATCACCGCAGGCCTCCCGAAGGCTGGAGCAACTGGCGCTCCTCCAGCACCAGCTACCGCTCCCCCTGCTGCAGCCATCACTGCACCAGGGCCACCCACCGCAGCAGCACCACCAGCTACTAACGGTTGATGAACATTTGCAGCAGGCGCATTCACACCTCTGCCTTGTTGTTGCTGTTGCTGAGCCATCGTCAACACAGCAAAAGAACGAGCAAAGTAGACAAATAGTGCTAGCAGGACGACTGATCCGCGAAGAACTCAATCCTCTTCGCCTCAGCTCGCCTGATATACTCAGCCACGCCGCTGCCGTCCGATCACGGCCCGCGCGCGCCTACGAGTGCACACCTCAATTGCACGTGGGCACAGCGTACTCAACCACTGTAACCCTAACCGCCGTGTGAACATGCCAAGCGACCACCGTCGCATCAGGTTTCCCGATCCCACGCCTGACTCGCGACATCTCGCGGAGCCTCGTGCGCCATCCGGATTCCCGTTCATCACACATTTAGACTAGCCGACCAGTGCAAGCCGCATCATGCATGCCTCTCAACATCATGCCATGATTCCTCGCGCACAAGGCCGCCAATAGTTCACCCTAATCACTCCGGCTGGCATCCCAGCCTGAGGACTAGACCAAACAGACTAGAGAGATACGACACATCCATACCCCTCCTTACGAACTGTATGCCCATCATGCAGCATGCAATTCTCATCACAAAAGGCAGCTCAGTCATCACTGCGCCATACCAATCGAGCACAACAGAGAACAAACCTCTTTATTCCCTGGTGGAGGCCAGTTCCCGCACCCACAACAACACAACCAGTAGTGAGGCAGGATACATTGAACATCTTCAATATACTTAGACTGCGCTTGCACCGTCTACAAGCGCCTGGCCGAGATCTTCGCGCCTCTTCTAGGAATGGTGAACTTTGTTGCTTCGTTCTTGCCAGCCATCCTGGTCACAGCACCACTTGTGATAACTCGCTCGGGGAGCGTGTCGGTTAGTCTCGCCCATGGCTGTGTCGTCTCTAACCCTCGGAACGTTTTGTGACAAGTATAGTCACGGCTGGCATAACGCAACTTCACCCAGTCCTAACCCAACACACACATAACCAACTGATCTCGTCAGAGCAGAGAATATGTTCCTGTTTGGAAGAAGAGCACCGAAAGAACCTCCCGCTAAAAGCAACAGCATGCTATGATATAACACATTGTAGAAAACAGCAAGCAGCGGCAGTAGCGATAGTACTTGCTAAACATGCAGCTAAACTGCTACTTTGTCCGCTGCGCGGAACGGCGATCGGACACGCACACGCACACACATACACGCGCGTACGCACAGGTCTGCGGGATCTAGAAGCGGCTGTCATCATAAGATACGCAAAGTGTGAAAGGGTATTAGAACGGGGCAAGCCTAGACCCGGCGTCTGGACCGCAACATGTACTTGATTAAAAGCATAGCCAGTCAATGGTCAAGCAGGTGCAATCACGCATATCCACACCTAGCGTACTACTACTATAAAGCGAATTCATAACTACAGGTATTGCACTTTCTACTGCAAATACACAGTCGTGCGCTTCATCTATTGACAGCAGCCAAACCTATCATTTTACAGTCTCACTGGGTAGGTGACCTCGCCGGCACACACCGTATAGTATATTGTACAATAACTGTTCCAACTACGGTCCGGAAGACACAGTGTGTCCACGTTCTACGCACAGTAGCTATCAGCAGTAAGTTAAAAGTTACAAGCCCTCACTCTCGGGCTATGACACATGTATATGCGGGCATGCATAAATCAACCCTTCCACAAGGACGGCTCAAACAGGCAGCCAAGGAGTGAAAATTTCGCTCCTGGGGCTAGGAGTGAAACGAAGGCCTCAATTTGCCAGATGAACCTTCTCCATCGAAACGAACGAAGGTGTCGAATAATTCTTTTACCAGTTCACAGTTGCCGTTCACGCGCACTCCCCGGGGTGGGGGGGGGGGGGGGGCTACTATGCACTTGTAGTGATACTTACTACATGTATATGCGGGCATGCATAAATCAACCCTTCCACAAGGACGGCTCAAACAGGCAGCCAAGGAGTGAAAATTTCGCTCCTGGGGCTAGGAGTGAAACGAAGGCCTCAATTTGCCAGATGAACCTTCTCCATCGAAACGAACGAAGGTGTCGAATAATTCTTTTACCAGTTCACAGTTGCCGTTCACGCGCACTCCCCGGGGTGGGGGGGGGGGGGCTACTATGCACTTGTAGTGATACTTACTACATGTATATGCGGGCATGCATAAATCAACCCTTCCACAAGGACGGCTCAAACAGGCAGCCAAGGAGTGAAAATTTCGCTCCTGGGGCTAGGAGTGAAACGAAGGCCTCAATTTGCCAGATGAACCTTCTCCATCGAAACGAACGAAGGTGTCGAATAATTCTTTTACCAGTTCACAGTTGCCGTTCACGCGCACTCCCCGGGGTGGGGGGGGGGGGGGGCTACTATGCACTTGTAGTGATACTTACCGTAAGCCAAGTGGAACACGACTAGTTGACTGCACAGACTACAGTACAGTATACATGCACATGTATACAGTGAAGATCAGTGCGTGCATGCCTGCCATAATCGTATGTTGACCTTCGTTCGAAAAGAGAGGGTCGTTTCGAAAAAGAAAAAAAGCTCGATGGAAGTATGATGCTGCTGACAATTCAAGACTCACTGAAGTCGCCTTTCTGGAATGGATCATGCACTCTAGGTTCATCCAATTGGATATGGACTCAAATCATTGTTACACCATTATTGTTTGGTTAGTTATTGTACATCCCATAGCATGTACAATCAACCTTGTGAATAATCTACCTCGGGTTTACAAAACAACTCGCAAATAACGACACAATCTTCAGATCTAGTGAACATTTGATTGCATACTTCCAACCTCACGAGTAACAACAATGCGAATAGCGACACTTTTCTCATTCACAATCGAGGGTCAGTATTCCCCAGGTTGACTGCAATTGCCAATCAAACAGGAGGGGCGAAAGTCGACCACGGCTGAAAAGGCATAAAGAAAAATTAATGTATATCATGAGCTAGATGGCTGAAGGAGGAAGTAGGTTTTCTGAGAAAGCAAGAAACAGAGGTGAATGAGGCACCAGGTCTGTCCATGCAGTGGATAGAATTATTGCATTGAAAGACAGGCTCTTTACATCAGCTTGCTACTATTATACCTACATTTGCTTTCTGCCTTTTTCATGCAGGATTCTGAAAGCTGGAGCAGCTCTGCTTACCTCGACCACTGAACTTACAACTAACTTCCAACCAAGTACAAGGCAATATTATGATGAATCAAGCACGCTTGCCATCATGTCGTCATTGCAAAGTACATCGACAACATAGATTTGGTGCCGACTATGTATGATGTAGAGTGTGCTCTATGTATCTATACTACTGATTGGCCTACATTGTACTTATGTGGGCTGAGAGTAATCGATTGTGCTATATGGCAGTTTACTTGTATGTCATAGATGTTAACATTGCACACAGCTTCTGAAATGCTTTCTGTTGCACTGGCCTACTGCGGCCCACTGCAAATAGATTGTAGTGGCATGGGCCATGCCATAATTATAGTAGTATACCGGTACTACACCAACAATTTCACTGGTGCACTGTACTTACTGGTACGAGTAGATCTACATCATGCACAGCCTTGTCACTGCTTTTCTCATTTTTTATTAATTTACTGTACTGTACACATTTTGGCACAGCTCTTCCACAAAGAGTTACTAGTATTTTCTTCTGCATACCTACTGTATACAGTGACCTGACTGGTAACATCTATGGCTGTGAAATCACAAATTTCTGGGTTGACAGCCTCGAACCTATACGATTTGTTTCTAAGAACGTGCTATAAGAAATTTTCTATTGAAGTATTCTACTGTAGCTCGCAGGACATGGAGTGCAATTACGTAAAGTTTGGAACACCACTCTTCTGTGATTTGGATGTCAAATTATGAAATTCAGTGTGTGAGGTAAACCCATGCATGGCATACACTGCTATAGTATGACTCGGGGTAAAGTGTTCCAACGCATACTCATTATAGTGAATAGTTGTGTGACCAACGTTGTTGCTGCTGGATAAATAGTACATATTCTGAGATAACTGAAGCTACACAGCCATCTAATGTTCAGACATGCATCGAAGGGGCCGTAACGAGATCTGCAAGGCATGATTCTATACCTGTATTTGATGCTCTCTAGCCTAGGACATTCACCTGCCTCATTTTCTCTGTGCTGCATTGATGAGTCGATAAATAAATAAATAAAATAAAAAACTAAAAAAACTTGATAGTGACGTACACGTCCGTCGTCCATGTGGCTTTGCAATGAAAATGTGTGTTTATTGAAGGATATTGAATTGTGTAAATGGTGTGCAAAAAATTGGGTATGTGGTATTGACATATATGCGCATGTGTGCTTATAGAGTACTCGATACTCGACTCGATAGTGACAGTACTCGCTCGATAGCTTATAGAGTACTCGTTTCAGCACTAAACATAACAATCCCGGTGTTTGACAACAGCACAAACCTACACCGCAATTCTTAATTTTGGGCTGTGGTGTTCTTAGTATTCCAGGTTGGATGTTCTGTAGGCTTCCACGTTCTTGGGCGCACGACTTTACTGTGCCGAAGAATATTTTCAGCCAATGAACCCAGAGCTTGGTGGCAGATGAGTGCCATGGAACAGCCTTTTGCATGTGGCTTTCACTACATGCACATGTATAACGTTCAATTGATGCGGAAAAATCAGACGAGGACTTTTGCAGTTATGAGCAAGGTCCCCACGAATGGTCATGTCACTTCACAGAATACATGAACTGATAGAGTAGACCTCGGTCCCCTCAGAGAACGCTTGGGGAAGTCGGGTTCAACCATAGATTTATACTTAACAGAGAACGCTTGGGGAAGTAGGTTTCAACCATAGATTTATACTTAATATTCTTTACAACAAGGATCGATGTGTTCCTTCGGATGCCCTTTATCGACTTTCACACACTTCTCCTCTCTCCTTTCGTCATAAGCACCATCTCTGTACACTGGTTCATAAAATATTTCTTCATAAAACCCCTTCACACATAATGAAGTACAATTGGTTTTCGACAAGCTCAACCCGTAACGCGCTTATCCTGCCTCTTGTTAAGTCAGCCCGGTATCTAAAGCCCCCCTTGTTTTCCGGTTATTCTCATTGGTTAACTGGGGACATGTCCAAAACCATACTAAGTACTTGAGCTTGAGCATGAGCCCCACAATTATCAGGCCCGCCGGTCTGGTTGGTCAGGTTATCACCAGACCAACTTGTTGGCCACCAACAAACGTTTCCTACCGTGGAGGACGTGTGTACCCGCCATGAAACTACCGGACCAATCAAAAACTGCTTCCGGCGGTACTGATTATAGTACAGGTTTAAGTTAAAAAGCGGCTCCATTTTGTCATACATTAAACCAACTCTGTCATTGCTATGCTACTCAAAAAGAGTAGTGATGTTTATTCACAAATGAATCACAATGCTATCAGAGAAATTCGATATTCTCCAATTTTAGGGGCACTGCAATACTATCCAAAATTAATGCTGCATGGTCATTGTTATGAAGCAGTCACCTCAGTACAGCAATTAAACAGGCTGATTATGTGAACGAGATTCACGGCAAATCTTCTTCCATCAGTGCTGTTCAGTCTTGAGTGGTCCACTGAGACAGGAAAACAACCTGTTCGGTCCTTCCATACGAGAAACAGAAATTGAACATGTTCCAGGGTGGAGGTGGCGAGTATCGGCAATGTAATGCACCTTTAGGCCAACATGACCATCATTCCGACATGGATTCTCAAACACCTTCGCTCGTGAGAGTGCCTCAGAGTGGTATTCATCAACAGATGGCAATCCTGTAAAACACATGAAAAGACATAGCAGCAACACAAAGAAACCTAATGTTATAGAAACGAATTCGAAAAACAAAGTCTACTATTATTCTAATACAGTGAACCAAGGTACAACCACACTCCAGGAGGCAAGCAAAAGAGCATATAATCCGAAGGTTGCGATGCCTGTATGTATTGTATTTATGTATTTACGGATTCTCCACAGGCTAAATCGAGGGAGTCTTTGGCATGCCACACTGGATACAACATGCTACCAGAATCACTTTCCCCAGAATTGATGATCTTTTCTTAGGGTGTTATATAAGACACATCTGTAGCCACTTCATCTTGCTCACGAAATCATACACCACCACACAAACGGGTCCTTCGGCTATTATACTTTGGGTGGTACATGGTGATGTATGATATTGATAATCTATTGATACCATATTCAAGTCTGACTCTCACCGTGAGATCCTGGCAACAATATTACCTGGTACACGACATATTCAGACACTGACATAAGCATCTTTTTGGAACAACAGGTGTGCCTATCTGCTAGTGTAATGTGACACACATGCAGAACACATGCAGAATCAGTCATAGCTAATTTTACCCCCTCACTGTTGTATGCGCAGACTCCACTTCGCGGTGTCAAGTACTCTTCTTTCGGTGGGCTACTCCACTAAGGCGCTTGTCTAAAAGGACTCACATTCATCCTGCAAACCAACACGACTTGCATAGTTTTCACTGTCGGCCAAAGTGCGTGCATTGCACACATTGAGATTCACTCCCTCCGTACAGGCCAGTACAGAGCTGCCCACCAATTGAGTCTGTTTTGCGTACTCAGACTTCTGATTTTCCGTATCTTGCAGTGTTTTGCGTACTGCCGTGTACATTGCATGCATACTTGCACTGTAATGTTTTTTGACACGCACATGCATGTCGGTGGCTGCATTTGGTAGTGTAAAACATGTGTGACTTGCACTCACGACATTATTATTTTTGTGCTACATGTACATGTTGTTGTGGTACGGCATGCACTCGCTTTGGTACAAGACTATTCATCACTCAGCTTACACTTGCAATGCTTCTACACAGCTGATTGATCAGGCCTCTCCGATTTTCTATACCATTTGCTCAATTTCTGTAGTGCGCACAAGGAGTGATTTTCCGTACAAATACAGAAAATATGGAGGGCTGGTACTTGGTAGCACTGCTAGTATGGTAGTACCAGGCTAAGCTGGCTGGAAGATCAAATACTTCTTTGGTTCTTTCAGTCATTTTCACGACATATGTTTTCTTTATCATGATCCCCGGGGTGTGACATTCTTATGAATGCAGAAACTCAGTCTTTCTAACCGAGTCTCACGTGCAATGTGAATTTGTTCTTCTTTTCTTCACAATGCCATGTATCGATTCATCGCTTCTTCCCACCCGAGATCCTATGCAACCGCGATTTAAAGATTGGCTTTATCAAATAGTTAATTCAGAGAGAGAGGATCAGTTGTGGATGCTGTGACAGCATAGAGTGTAGATTGGTGTAAACATCATTGCCCAGCAGAACCGTATTCACAGGGATCTGCGTTTAGCATATGGAAGCTATTTTTTAGAATTTGTACACGTCCAATAAGCCTGAAGAGAAGAACACCTAACTTAGACTGTCCTAACGTTATCGAACGCACTGCCAAAGTAAAAACAACATTTGAAATGCAAACTCGATTGTGCATGCATGGAGGGCATGGGGAAGAGACTGAGAGGGTGAAAGTGAAGGAAATTTGTTCCGAAATCAAGAGAATCCGAGGAACCCTTGCTGCATTCTTCAGTTCGATAACGTCAGTGGGTGAATCTCAGATGTGTTGTGTGCCCAGACATACAAGTACAGCACTAACCTGAGCATGAGAGCTGCTTGTCATCATCGTGGTCAGGAAAACGAAAGGACGAACGAGGAAGATTGCTGACCATGCATGACGAACAACTGCATATCTAGACGACAGACGGCTTGCCAGAATCAGTCTGGTGTATCTTCAGGAATCTTCTTTCCTAATCGCATTCAGCAGTCAGCTTCGAGGTCAAGAACGCGATGATATTTTCAGAAGGAATAATTTTCAAAAATTTTAAATTTTGGAGAAGAAGCTTCCTTTCTAAAAAAAAAGCGTTCCTTGCTTTCACGCAAAGGAGGTGCCTTGCCGGACATATCGTCGACAGCACAGTGTCGGCAGATCCACGTTTGTAGGCTGCAGACCCGGCAGACGTTTTGATCATCCCGGCCTGGTGGTGAGATTTTGGACGCGGGAGTACTAAAAAGCTGCTCGCATCCCAGGGTGCTCAGTTTCGCTCTACCCGCGCGAGTAGGAGTCCAGGTAACGGGCTCTCTTTCGCGGCCTGCCGAGCATAATATACCTCTCAGCTTTCCACTCCCGCGGATTTAGTATCAAAAATGTGGGGCTAGCGGCGGTAAATCGCGGAAGAATGATAGCAACTCACCTTAATCTCAACGTAAAAATGATTAATCTTTGATTTTTTGCAAAAATCAGCGGGTACCCCCCGCCATGTTAGATGGCCAAAAATCGCTGGCTGAAACAGCCGTGTGTCAGTCAGAGCGTGATGCGTGCATGATGTATGCACATGTACATGCGCATATGCGCATATACAGTGTGCAGCACGCGCGCGATGCATGGCCATTGTGGGGAAGCCCCGCCGGCCGCGGCCGAATCGAGACACAAACCGAGACAAACCGCTCTGAATTCCTGTGAAATGCTGAATTCTCTACGTTTCTTTGTATTTTCGATCAAGAATTATTTTGAAGAAACGGGTACGGCGGGTTACCCACGTGTTCGCTGAGTTGAGCTTGCCACGCGATCGTCTACGCTGTACGAACTGTACGAGATCTCGCAAGGCCACTACATTTTGTAGCACTTGCATGTTGCACTGCACTGAATTTCAGTTGCATGATTGATTGTACTTTGTCTTTGGATTGGAGATAGGAAGGCGACAATGTTCAAACTCGAGGAGCCTCCAGCCAAGCGCGCCTGTAGTCAGCCTACCTTGGGCGACCATAGTTATGGAATCAATGGGCGCCGGTCCCTTATCCAAGGGCACTGTGTTCGAACTGTGCGACGTCTGCTGGAGGAGGTCGACTCTGACGATGATGAATTTATTGATCCAGTTTCCGTGGACGATGATGACGAACCGCTGCCCTACGATACCGAGGAGGCCAAGCGAGTCATGCTGGAGTGTCAGAACCACGTCACAGCTCTGAAGCGGCCCCATTCAGAAGACGACGAGGAGGCGAGACTCCGTGCATGTATCAAGTAAGATAGTATTTTTTACAGTAGTCTCTGCTGTGTTTTACACCTTCTGATTTATACACCACTTTACATATACATTATACATGTACGGGTAGCTCAGTGGTTGGAGCATCGCTGGCCTATACTCTATATCGAAGGTCCATGGTTCGAGTTCTGGTGGTGACTGCCAATTTTTCCTCAGCCTTTTTTTGCCTTATCTTCCTCAACTGATGAGCACTATTTTACACATTTAGTCCTTATGCCAGTTCTCAACGCTAACGGCATAGGTCAAGTAGTATAGTGCTGCCTAATGAAATCCAGTCGCGACACTCAAGTTCGCGCCTTGCACCATTTCGCAGCCCAGTGTTCGCAGCTCTAGGGCTGCGCAACGCCCGGCGCGTACTTGGGTGATGCGGCTGGATTTCACTGAGTAGCACTCTACATTATACCGGCACGGTGCAAGGGTAATCCCCTCCCCTGCTGCACATACACGTAAGAACGTTGTCAACACGTTCAGCAGAAAAAAACATCCTAGTGCTTGCAGGAGACTGCTCTTCAACAGAACGGCCGATGCCGGCCACCATCATCAATACAGACGTGCTCGGTAGAATCCCACCTGACGAGTACGTCAGCAACCTGTTCCGATACGCCACCCGCTGCTGTGGCTTGCAGGGCTTGGTGCTAACCAACTCGCGAGGGCTGGCTTCATTGAGCGTGTGTGTAGAGTGTTGCCCAATGCTGTATCCAGCAAGATGTTTCGGCCATCTAGGCCTGATCAGTACAGCTACGAGCTGTTAAGCCAAACTACCGGCCATGGCGCAAAGGTGGCACCACAGCCATCAAGATGGCTCGTCGCTCACAGAGTGCTAGAAAGTTAATTTGAAGTCTGACGGGAACATTGGGCAACCTTTTCTGGGATGCTGATTACTCTATAGTGGCTGTAACACCGCCGGCCTAAAGAGGTTATATGATTGCGTCACCAGTACGTCACCATTTGAGCTGCTTTGTATTGAGTGACATCACAAACCCAAGTTTTCCAATGTATACAAAGTAGGGCTGAAACCATCGTGGATTTTCACCTATCGATTACTCTTTAGCTTAACGATCGATTAATCGATTAAATCGTTAGGAAATAGTGTCAGAATTTTGGGCAAAAAGTACTCTGTTTCCAAAAGCTAGGCCTTCATAATACCAAAAAATTGCATTAGTGACAGCCTAGGTAGCTCAGAAACATGGCAATTATAGTCAATTTAACCTCAGAATATGCATCAGAATATGCATCATGCCTCTGGCAACTGCATATCCACAGTGGAAACTGATTCAAACTTCACAAAAACGAGAGTTTTCAGTACTTTCTGGACTCAAAATCCCTAACGAGTAATTTTTAACGAAACAAATACTTGATTGATAAGGAATTATCGATCCCTTACCGAGTACAGTCCGTATCGCCTATAAGGTTGGCGGCTATAGTAATATACCGGATATAGTGATCAATTTCTCAAATTCATTTTCATTTGCCATAACTAAGTATACACAGTTATCGCGTATAGTAATAATCGTCTATAGTAATATATCGCCTATAGTGATCAAATTCTTATTTCAAAAGACCTTTATTACATTATTTTTGCATCGGTTATAGTGATTGATGTAAAATCAAGCGATGTTAGAGGAGAACAGGGTGTTGCTTTTTCGTGAAGAGCTTGTCCAGTGAGTGTTGTTTGGTGAGTTTTGCTCGTACAAGTTGCCAAAATATGCCTCCATCGTGAGGAAATGCTGATTTTCTGTGTCAGGAGCTACAGCCAGCTACATGACATTGTACATGTATGTAGTGCGTATGTGCACGGCGCGCTGAGTCGTTTGACATCCCACTCGCATACATTACATGCAGTATCGGTCATAGTAATATATCGCTTATAGTGATAAAATGCTCAAAATCAAACACCAACGCTATAGGCGATACTGACTGTAATTGCTATAATCGTTTCAGCCCTAATACAAAGCATGTTATGCTTTGTATACATTGGACAAAACATGTCGTTCGCGTAATCTCCATTGAGAAGCTCCTTGATTCGTTCTGCTGGTGACGAGCAACTACAAGTAATACTTTTTTCAGACAATTTTCTTTCACAGCCTTTGCAAATTTATACGTTTTTGAGATGACCCAGTGGCACGAAGCCTTTCAGTCGTGTTTGATTTTCTCTCACTCCTGATTGTTTCCCACGTGCCTTCCCTCTTGCTCAGGGAGGTGTCGAAGGTGGAGAGCGACATCATCTTCCGCGTGCGCAACATTCTGCAGGATGAGCAGTACTCACGACTGGTGTATCTGAACGTATGTTGCCCCCCCCCCCCCCCCGTCTTGCTACGGTCCAGTGCATTGCACATGTACCAGCTGTCCTGCCTTAGTGCAGTCCACGGTATGCATGCACCTGCAGTGGCGTGTATAAATTAAATTCCGAGGTGCTTCTTGTAGAAGCCGGTGTCAATGTTAGGCTCCTATTCAAATCAGGTATTTCTATGTACTAGTATGTATGTCTTTGTAACATCAGGCTTATGTGCCGACTTGGTATCTTCAAAATCAGGCTTGTGTTCAGAACAGGCTTCAATATGAGATATGCTCTTTACGTGTGTTTGTGTGTGTGTGTGTGTGTGTGTGTGTGTGTGTGTGTGTGTGTGTGTGTGTGTGTGTGTGTGTGTGTGTGTGTGGTGTGTGTGTGCGCTATCAATCGTGCTTCATGAACAGAATCCCAAGGAAGCAGTGCTGCGTCGCCTGCACACCGACAAGTCTGCAAATCACATCCGCCACGCCTTGGCTGCTTGTCAGTGGGTAAGTCAATGTATCAACACAGTATGTACTTCCCACATCCATGAGAAGGTGATTGCAAACCAATGTATTGTGTATTGTTTAAAGGGGAAGTATACCCTAAAATCAAATTTTCACCAGTTGTAGTCTTCTGGGTGCTGAGTCGAATGGTCTTGGTCCGAGGAAGCTGCGACGCTCCCTTCCTACTTGAATCCCAATCGAACTCGCGCACTTCCACCGAAACTGGGTGACTGCGCCCTACGAGATGGGGATTTGTATGCAAAATGTCACTAAAAGCGCCATTTCGTTCTTATAAAAGCACGGATGACCGCGATTGGCCCATATGTTGTAGTCTTTTGGACGCTGAGTCGACTGGTTTTGGTCCGAAAAGGCTGCGATGCAGCGTTCCTCCTTTATTCCCAATCGAACATGGTTGAACAAGCGGTCACGTGCTCCTGCGTACACCAGTCAGCTGGTCACCGTGCCTGCAGGGTACAACTTACTAGCCTGTTTGACCTTTTTTGGGTGCAGTCCTGTCACTCGAGTTGAACTCGAGTTGAACCTTGGTGTGAAAGTTGTCGCCTGCTGGCGCGGTGACCAGGTGATTTGGGCACCCAGGAGCACGTGACCGCTTCTTCAACCATGTTCGATTGGGAATAAAGGAGGAACGCTGCATCGCAGCCTTTTCGGACCAAAACCAGTCGACTCAGCGTCCAAAAGACTACAACATATGGGCCAATCGCGGTCATCCGTGCTTTTATAAGAACGAAATGGCGCTTTTAGTGACATTTTGCATACAAATCCCCATCTAGTAGGGCGCAGTCACCCAGTTTCGGTGGAAGTGCGCGAGTTCGATTGGGATTCAAGTAGGAAGGGAGCGTAGCAGCTTCCTCGGACCAAGACCATTCGACTCAGCACCCAGAAGACTACAACTGGTGAAAATTTGATTTTAGGGTATACTTCCCCTTTAAATTTGGTGCTAACATATCTACCGGTATGCATTTAATTTATTTGCCATATTCTCGTTCACGTAGTATGGGTGAGGCATCCTGAAGCCTCATAACTCGAAGAGAAGTGGTGAGCACACATGCTCTTTCCTTGGGCACTTCAAAGTCACAACTCAGTTCACATTATCATTTTGCCTGTATCAACATTGGTATGCCGGGTGTTTGTACTGTGGTGCATTTTGTGCTTAGGACAAGAAGAAGACGAGAACCATTCACAGGATTCTTTTGGAGCATCTCTCGGCGCCATTTCTGGTCGCTTACCTTGATGTGATGCAAGTGCTGAGATCTAAGGTGAGTACAATTGTCAACAGGGTGCTGTAGAATCTCTAGTTGTTAATCCTAAACCCTCCATGGTCCTGGAGGAATGCATTATAAGTATGTTTCCACACCAAATCATCACGACGAGGGGTGGCAACACTGGGTACGTTTGATGACGTCGGGCGCTGTACGATCAGGCGCTTGTGTGCCTTGTGATGAAGGGGGTACACGCGGCGTTTCTTTCTAACACATCTCACAAAGAATGAATGGCTGTTTCGAAGAATCCGTGTTGCTGTGTTTAAACCCCGACTTTTCTGTTGCTGTTGCTGTTGCTGTTGCTGTTGCTGTTGCTGTTGCTGTTGCTGTTGTTGTTGTTGTTGTTGTTGTTGTTGTTGTTGTTGTTGGTGGTGGTGGTGGTGGTGGTGGTGGTGGTGGTGGTGGTGATGGTGTTGTTGTTGTTGTTGTTGTTGTTGTTGTTGTTGTTGTTGCTGCTGTTGCTGTTGCTATTGTTGCAGGCCCCAACGCTAGTCGATGAGATGGTGGGTGCGGATGGTCGTAGTACAGAAGCAAAAAGTCTGGCTCTTCTGCTCAAGAGACCCTGGGATCCAGCTCTGCACTTTCGTGCTCGCAAGGTGTGTGTGTGTGTGTGTGTGTGTGTGCTTCATATTAGTAGGGATTTCAGGCAGTTTTGTTAGTAACTGTCCACCAACGTGACCAGATCACATACAGTCAGCGAGTTACATTTTCGTCCTTCTCCTTTTTTTACCGTATTTAAATTGGCCCACCATCGGAGGAATCTAAGCAGTATGTACATGTATGTGATGGTATTGCTTCCAAAAAAAAGGTGATTTGCGAGCCCTAACTTTTAGCAAATTTGACTGATTCGCAAAGTTCTCTATTATGTGTCGCCAATGGGCCATTCACACAGCTGTTCGAAAAGCGTGTACATGCCTGTGTGAATGCACCTGCATGGAAATGACGTCCGCCAGTACGTGGAATACCAAAATGTGAGGCGCATTGTAACGTAGTATGAATAGCCTATAAAGTGTGTGTGTGGGGGGGTTACAGTGCTGGTATGCCGTGCACGCTGCCCGAACACTCCGTTACGTTAGCAAGAAAACAATTACTGTACCCGTATCAGTATACCGTACAACGAATCTGTGGAAGTGTGTGTGTGTATTCTACATGACTTGATCAAAATAAATCTATCAAATATGGGCATAATAATGCCGAGAACAGGCAATATGCGAGGATTATGCAATGATTATGCATAGGATGCACCGATATGCAGAACATGAGCTACAGACGTGCTGGCAGTTTGTCAGACATGCACCTGTAAGGGTGCTACTAGATGCGTGTGTGTGTGTGTGTGTGTGTGTGTCTGTTTGTCTGTCTGTTTGTGTGTCTGTCTGGCTGGCTGTCTGTCTGTCTGTCTGTCTGTCTGTCTGTCTGTCTGTCTGTCTGTCTGTCTGTCTGTCTGTGTGAGCGCGCACGAGCTAGAGAGATAGTTATTTGGCACTGTTCAAGGCGTAGGGCGCTTGGGTGCTGGCTCCAAAGCGGCATCATGTGCCAGCATCGACATCAACAGTTGCTTCAGCACCGACATCACCTGTTGCGGCATCAACTGTTGCTTCAGCACCGGCATCAGCTGTTGCTTCAGCATCGACATCAACAGTTGCTTCAGCACAGGCTGCCGCTTCTCCACCCACAGAAGCAGTTAGTTGCAGAGTGCCCGTGGCTGACAGAAGGTGAATGAGGTTCGCTGAAAGCTGGTCAACCGACCGGTCCTACTGATTTTTGCTACGTTGGAAATATTCTACAGCTGCTGATTGCTGTAGCACATACCGCCGAAAATGCAGTTGTGACTTCAAAGCAGACTTTGACTTCAAAGCAGACTTCTTGCGTGCCGCCGAGGGTGACTGCGCCAACTTTGCCGTAACTTCAGAACCTGAGATCCAGAGCCCGTACTCTTCAATCTCCTTCGTTAGTCGCTCCCTTCTCTTCAGCGGCGCATCTCTCTTTCTCGCAATGAATTTTTCTTTCTCCTGCAGCGCTTTGGCCCTAAAATCCGTGATTTCCTTGTGTCGTTCTTTGTACAACACCCGCATTGCCGGTGCAGATCTCCTGGCATGCAGCCACTCAGCAGTACGATTGTCTGCGTATGCAATCATGCCATCCAATGCTAGTGTCGATGCAGCTGGCTTCTGGCGGAGAAGCCGGTCCAGCTGAGCGAAATCTCGCTCCGAGATAGCATTTGTATTCCGCACTGATACGCACGTCTACACTAGTTCTGACGCTGGCTTGTGGAAACAGCCACCCACCTGGCAACTGGTCTGCCAAAAGCCTAGCGGCGACTGCAGCAAAGCTCGCACACAGCACCTGCAGTATGACACAAGAGATACTGTATCTCTTGTGTACAGTCGTCCGACAACTGCTTCTCGAGCAGGCGGCTCAAAACAGGACCAGCCCTGGTAATAACAGCAGTGGGGAAGGGCCGAGGTGTTCCATCGAGGATATCTGAGGAATTCGTTGACCACTCCGCCAGCTTAGTATGCAAGTGTGTATAGATGGTGGACATTTCAAACATCGAAACAGCCCTATCCTCCAGACGCGCGCGCCAGAGTGGAGAAATCAGCAACTTGCCTACCAGACCACATGCGCTCGCACCTGGTTCAGAAGCGGCTAGGTCAGCCTTAACGGCCCTCAGTAACAGGTTTGTCTCTCCATGAATGTCCTCTAGAAGAATGGATCATGCATTCGTGCAGAAAGAAAGTGCCGGCGCCATTGCAGAACACAACGTAATTTCGGTTGCCTCGGAGCTCAGAGAGTGGGAGGTGTGTGTTAGATCGAGAGAGAAATGCACGGACACCACCCACAACTCCAGCCTGCTCGTTTCCATGCTTTTCAAACGCACTGGTTGCAGAGCGAATACATGTACGCCTAACGACCCTGGACTCTTTAGCATCGTATACCCCATGGACCTCGTTGGCACCAATCTTTTCTGATCCAAATCTTACATCTTCCTATTTCCTCAACGACTTGGATGCTCGATCAGTGAGCCCAACAATAAAGTGGAGGCCGCAGAAGAAATTATTCATCTCTATCATGTCACTGCGTTCCTCGTCCTGCAGATGGGTCCAACCATCAACTACGTCTGGCAGTATTTCAGCCCTGTAGTCTGCCAACAAGTCATTAAAGCTTTTCTGCACACTACAGCGGTCGCTCATTGTATTCTTGATTTTGGCGACTATCTGGTTGGTAACCTGAGCATCTGCTGTCTTAGAGCAAGCTGACTCGACAGCGTTCAAAACTTCCTTCAATTCCTCTAGTCCATGAGCAGCAGTGCCGCATTTCATGTCACAGATATCCAGCGTGTACGACTGCTCAGGTGTGGACATTTGATAAGATTGATACAATTTTCCAAGCTTAGATGTGCCATCACTGTGTGGTGTAACATCTTCAGCTTTGAGGATCTTTTCGGCGACATGCCCGGCACGGACTTGCTTGAGTTCAACACGTATCTGACTCAGTAAACCAACACTCGGAAGCCTGTCAATCTTCTTTGTTGACCATTGACAGCACAATGCGAATGGGTGATAGTACATTCAGCATACCCACACTCAGCGACAGCAGTGCAAGGCAACACTTTCTAGCAGCAGCCTTGTGCTTGCCATTCTCTCCATTGCACAGAACTGTGTACTTTCTTCAAGTTGTGCAAGAGAACCATACAATCTCGTGTTCAACTCTCTCTCGCGATTACGGTGTCCACATAACTCAGTTTGCTACTCATCAGTCACTTCCGCCAGGCTCTCAATGTTGTCAACAGGACAAGAAACTTCATCAACATGATTGTTGAGAGGCAGTTCAAAAGGCTGACTTAGTAATTCACTGAGGTCATCACTTGCCTTATTCTTCAGCAACCTCTTTCTCTGCTCTCTGAAGCGGCCGATCTTGTTACTGGCCACTTCCTCATTTACCGTCTCGAAATCCTTTCCATCCACCACTGACACTATCAAAATCAAATTGTGCCAACTATAAAATGTCGCCCACAACGAGAGTTCAACTACTACGCCAATCACCAACTGCCCAGGACGACACAGAGAAAGCCGGCTCTCTTCAGAATTAGAGTCCAAAGCCGCCTGCAAATTTGAACGCCTCAACAACAATATTTCGCACTCCGCCTCCATACTGCACACGATGGCGTGTAACTTCAAAACAATTTCCGCGAACGACCGCGACCCTTTTGGAGTCTCAAGGATTAAGAAGCTACCTAGCATACTAGTATATCAATGCCGTAGAATCTGGTTTTGACTGCCACTTGAGCGTGCAACCAAGGCAAACGCGTCTAAAGCGACGTTGAAATCTACAAGAATCTATCTAAATTTGCCGTGTGAGGCACCAAACAAAAGCGTGAAACGTTCTCTTCAACAGTGTGTGGATAAAAATGATCTAAACTCACTATGAAACCTAAAATCTATGCCGAAGAGTGCTCCGCTCCTCTGTGCCATGCCTGACATTCGAAAAAGCATGCAGGTGCGTCAAGGCAGTTTTGCCCCCGCAGGTCTCGTGACTGAAATCCCTTTTCATAGGTGGTGTGTGTGGTGGCAGTTTGATAATACCGTAAAAGCCCGTGTATAGGCCCCGGGCGTATAGAATAGCAGCCTCGATTTCCTGGGCGTATACAAGGGCACGGGCGTTATTTTGGAACCGGGCGTGTACTTGGAATAGGGATAGCAGTAAGTATTGGGTATCAGTACCTGTACATGTACTGGTGTTGGCGGCATACCTGGGCGTATACATGGGCATGGGCGCTATTTTGAAACAAAAATGTTGACTTCCCCTGACTGGGCGTGTACACGGAGGGTGGGCGTATACAGGGGCTTTTACGGTACTGTTCCATGTTGCAATTTTGGGTGCATTGGCAAACGTGCGTGTGTTTGTGTGTGTGTGTGTGTGTGTGTGTGTGTGTGCGTGTGTGTGTGTGTGCGCATGTGTGTGTGTGTGCGTGTGTGTGTGTGTGTGTGTGTGTGTGTGTGCATATCCGCTGCTGCAAGCAGCCAAAGCTACCGCAGTCGGGCACGACCAGCGCGCCGGCATTCGTGGTGTTGCCGATGTCCCTGCAGTTGGCTCAGCAATCTCGTCGCTGGAAGACGTGGCAGACTCACTTGTCAGGCTTGAGTGGCAGCGGCGGCAGCATCAGTAAAGTTCACCTGATCGAGGTTGATGAAATTCCCACCGGCAAGGCATCGGGCTCATCCTCGGACCCCTCTGGCATGCTTGACTCAACATGTATGACTGCGCCAATGTTCTCCAGGGCTGTCATTCAGGCAACACGATCCCGAGTCAAGAAGGTGAGGATTTGCTTGCGCAAGAGAGCTGGTGAACATCTACCACATGACCATACAGGGCAGCCATGTTGCTCTGAACTCCACTCAACCCCCAGCATCTATGGGTCACATGATGTCGGCCATGTTGGCTCCACTGTACACATGACATGATCACTTCGAATATTGTCACTAGGGGGTAGTGTTCAGGCGAACCCCGCAGCCTAACATGAATGCATTGTACGTCGAAACCTTTGTCTGCCATGATGGAGTTGCCATGCCGTAGCATGACATACCGTATTTTCCGGAGCATAGTGCGCACCTTTGTATAACGCGCACTCCCAATCTTCATTGGGGGTGCGCACCTCAATCTTCATTGAAGTACATGCATTTCATATTCGGAGCGTAGTGCGCACCTGCGATTTAGGGTCTAAAATAGCACATCTAAAGTGCGCACTATACTCCGGAAAATACGGTAATTCCCGACATCCAGAAACATGTACGAGGGATGTTGCTGAAGTCGTAACCTTGCCATTACTAGTCTACTAGACTGATCAGACCTGTGTGTTCCGTTACAGCACTGTCCGACACATATCCTTCAAGCGCTTTTCAAACGAAAGGTGCACTGCCGATGAGGCATTTCACGGTGTTGTGGTTTTGATAAGCTGACCGTGTTGCACTTTGCTGTGCCAGTGATGACGGTAAAATCAATCACGACGTAGTTTGTTGTGCACCACTGCTTGAACGCCGGCGGCATTAGTTTGTCGATTCTTTGCCTTGAAAGCCAAGATGGAAGCTGGTAAAACTTGTGATACATCAGATTGACCCAGATTATTGCAGTACGCGAGACAATGGAAGGGTGGACGTTGTACCGATCAGCGAGGTCAACTTCTTTCAGGCCCAAACGATGACGTGCCAGGACGAGAAAGAACTGCTCCGTCAGCAGTGATGAGGCATACCGTTGCCGCTAGCATAGGTCTGTATGGAGCCAGGCAGAACTACAGCACGCTGTCAAAACATGGCCGACCTATCAAATATTCAAACCTCTTCAGCTTCTTCTCCAAGGTTTGAAAACTACCGTTACGCTATGACGTCGTCACAGAACTCGCAAAAGCTCTCTTGTTCCGCTGTTCAACTGGAACAAGATATACGAATGCCCAAGTCTCGTTCACAATCGACTTGTGTGCTGTATACAATGTAAAGGTCACTGCATGCGACTGTGACTTACTAATGGGATAAGACTGCTATTCAACTACAGACCTGGAGGACCTTCTTATTCGTGATGATCCGTTCATACATACATACGTGTGTGTGTGTATCCGTGTGTGTCCGTGTGTGTGTGTTTTGTTGTTGTTTCCAGCTCCGTGACTCTCATCCGCACCGTCCCATCGTCCTGGTTGGCTCAAGCATCTCGGCACTCCTAGCATGCGAGGTAGGTTTATGCTGATGCTGCTTCATCTGCTGCACATACAGTAAAACCTGGTTTAAGCGACCACCCCACGGTGCAAGCAAAAGCGGTCGTTAAAGCCAGGTGGTCTTTACAACCAGGTCCCACAGTGTCTGTGTAGAACTGTCGGTGCATGGGAAGACGGTCGCTAAGAGCAGGTGGTCACTAAACCCAGCGGTCTCTTACACCAGATTTTACTGTTCTGTGTATTTAGAAACTGCTGGCCTTGATCTCTTAGTGCTACGGACGTTTTCTACGTATGCGGGGGAACTGCAGGTTCTCTTCTCTGCGTATACACTCCATCATTCACCCCAGTGTCTGGAGATATGTGGATTTTGTAGAGAAAAAAAATCAAGTCAGTGTTGTGTTTGCTTGTGTGAATAGGTGGCACAAACAGAGAAAGTTGCGTGTGTGATCTGTCTCGGTTTGCCAACTTTTGGTCTGGAAGGTACAAACGAGGTATGTGTATGGTTTTTCCGTTTCTGTGCTTCTTGGTCTCGTCAGCCTTACTTTGCCCCCCCCCCCCCTCTCTCTCTCTTTTACTTTCCCTCCTTCCCTCCCTCCCCCCCCCCCTCTCTCTCTCTCTCTCATCTCTCTTTTACTTTCTCTATGCCTGTGTTTGGGTAATTTGAAACCAATTTCTATGAGAAGAAACTTGAGTATCGTGGCCTGGGCATGTTCCCTCTGCTCTGGCTGCTCTCCTCACAGTAATGCTACCAACGTTTGGTACATTTGCACGCCTTTGCCAAACCTGTTTTGTTTTCCGTCTGATTTCCACACTACGTACAGGATTGCAAGTCCTTGGAAGGTGTTCGGTGTCCTGTTTTCTTTGTCGTCGGCGCACACTCACGCATGTCGTCAGTGGGTGCAATACAGGTACTTATTGTGTTGATTCTTGACTCTGTGATTTTTATTTTTTTATTTTATTTTATTTACTGTCTGCACTTCATGGCACAATGAAAATAGCCAATACAAGGAAGTGAGGGTGAAACCAACCACGGACTGAGGGCAAAAAGGCAAATTTAAAATGAAATAAAATAAAATAAAACAAAAAAATATTGCGTGAATCACTATGTGTTCACAGGGTATGATGTGTGTACCATATTTTCCAGTGATAAGTCAACTTTTCTTTCTTCCTTTTTTCATCTAAAACCGAGTGAAAAGGGGGTAGTCGACTTACAAGCGGGGTTTAAGCGCTATTGAACCGGTAACTCGAGGCCCCATGTATTGAGAGTCGACTTAAAATACTGTGCTTGAAACGCCTTGTACACTCACTACACTGTGGGCTGGCAATTTGCCGACTATTGCTATCTCTCCCGAGATCAAGTTGCGTTCTAAATGGGTTTATTGCAACACAAGCACAGGCTATAGGTAGAATATCAGCCAGTAGCTGAGTAGGGGTGACAACCAGCCATGGCTTTGATGGTCATTGATTTGTTGGATTATTTGTGTGTGTGTGTGTGTGTGTGTGTGTGTGTGTGTGTGTGTGTGTGTGTGTATGTGTGCGTACGTGCAGCGATTACGTGAAGGCATGCATAAGGAGAGTGCGATTCTCTTGGTCAATGCGGCTGATGATCAGGTGAGAGTACAGGTGACGGAACACAAGTACGCTTCACGATGCAACACTTTGGTCCATTGTCTTGTATCCAATGACCAAGTTGGCCTTCAGTGCCATTTCATGATGTTCCCTGAAAGAGAGCCGTGCCTATTGATTTGGTCCGGCTTTTTCAGGGGCGTCGGAACCGGTGCGGCAGGTCCGGCCAAAGCCGCATCAATAATATCATCTAGTGACTTTTGAAGCAATGAAATATGGGCTATTTGGGCCCAACTTCCCTAACATTTTCCTGGGAGGTGGGGGGGGGGGGGGGGGGGGCAGACCCCCACCTACTCATGTGGCCGCACCAATGTCGAATACCTTCTGACACCCCTGATTTTGGCACGGGTAGTGCTATGAGTTTGCGAGGCATGTTCATGGTGTGTTCTGCAGCGAGTCTCTCAACTACTGACCATTAAAAAAGTATACTTCAAAAGAAGTATATAATTATATATGTACACTCGTGAAATGCATAACAATGATGCCCTGAGTACGGGGACTACAGGCGATCTAACAAGTACCTGTGATGATGTTGTTTCAACTTGTTTGTCTATGTCCTGCTCTGCTACAGCTGTGCCTGACCAATGCCGGCAAGGACCACTTTGTACTAACTCAGCCTCTGCTGGACAAGTCTATACTGGTTAGTCCAGTTGACCTTCCACAGTGCTGCTCTTGTATGCTTCCTAGGTGGAGATTGACAGTGCAGTTATGTGGATGCAGTGGTGATGGCGGGTGTTGGGTGATAGTGTGTGATGTTCAGGGCTCACAGCCCTGTACAAAAGCGTGGGCGCCATTTTGGACAGGCCGCTGTCACCAGAGCCAGGCAGTATGCCAGAATTGTGTACATGCGATCAGGCAATATCTTACGGAAGCTTGAAAGTGTAGGATGCTTTCTCCTAGGCCTTTCAAACTCTAGGAACATACTCTCAATACCCATTGTGAGGATTTGTCCGAGAGTTTTTTTGTTTTAATCGATACGGTTTGGCGTACATACGGGGCCAAAGTATCAGTTGGTGCAGGCGTAATTCTGACATGAATTATTGTCCTAAAATAGAAAAGTCTCTCGGACAACTTCTTCTAATTTTCCTACTGAAAATTTTAAGCTATTGGCCATCAAAATCGGGCAAGAGACGGTACAAACGAACATTTCGAAGGCGACGCTATCTGCAGTACAGGTGCGAGGAAGAACCGCGCGCGCTTGACCGGTTGTGAATGCGGAAACAACACTACAGCAAGGCGAATTTTCTAAATGTTTTGCTACTCGCCTGGCGCTTCATCGCTGTGTTCTTCAGGAGTTATGGCCGACTGAAGAAATACATGGCCAGCACAACGGCGAAGCCATTGGACGTGTTCTCTTGCAACGAAACGGAGTGGCGAATCAAATAATTCACAACTCCACATCGTCACTACTGCGTTGCGCGGCTCTTCGCAGCGGACCAGGCGTATATTTACATTGTACACAACAGGACTTCACGGCGGAGAAACTAAAACTAGAACACTACGTGAGTCATTGCTCCATGCCTTCAACATCAAGGAGTGCATGTCCTCTCCCGATCCCGTCACCCGCGCCTGTGCATTAGCGGCGTAGCTGCCGGGCAGTAGATATTGAACTCTTTCGTGTTCAACGAATGCAGGAATCTGCTCGGGGCTACTCCTCGCAGGACTCCGTGTGTGGACAGTCTGAAGGAAGAATTCGGCCGATGAGGCCAACAATGCTCGCGAAATAATCCACTCGGAAGGAAACAATAACAACCGAAACAAATGGAGAACTGTCTCCGTCTCCTTCACCATCCACGGCTCATTTCTTGTCACAGCAACTCAGCCCAAGCAAGTCAAAATCTCCTTGCGACTGTGCTACGCCTGCGCTTAGCAGTCACGCGTGCCCGTTTCTATGGTGATCAGATCCAATATGTCCTCCCACGTAATCGAGGTTTTGGCATACCGGCTGTGAGCCCTGATGTTGAGTGATAGTGGGTGGGTGTTGGGTGATAGTGGGTGAGTGTTGGGTGATAATGGGTGGGTGTTGGGTGATAGTGGGTGGGTGTTGGGTGATAGTGGGTGGGTGTTGGGTGATAGTGGGTGGGTCTCTCTCTCTCTCTCTCTCTCTCTCTCTCTCTCTCTCTCTCTCTCTCTCTCTCTCTCTCTCTCTCTCTCTCTCTCTCTCTCTCTCTCTCTCTCTCTCTCTCTCTCTCTCTCTCTCTCTCTCTTTCTCTTCTCTCACACTCTCTCTCTTCTCTCACTCTCTCTCTTCTCTCTCTCTCTCTCGCGCACACACACACACACACACACACTCTCTCTCTCTCTCTCTCTCTCTCTCTCTCTCTCTCTCTCTCTCTCTCTCTCTCTCTCTCCTGTGTGTGCTTCTCAGGATGAAATTTCGTTTTACCTTGAAGAGATCCTACCTCCAATGCCCACTGTTAGCACTGTCCGTGGCCATGCTGAAGCAGGCAGCGGGGATGAGTTTGAAGCCAAGCCGAAGAGAAAAGCTGCCCCTGTCAATCGCGAGCTGTTCGCTCTTGGTCCCGGACCCCACACGCCTCTGGTGTACGAAGATGGCCAGCCGGTGTCAAATGTTTCTCGTCAGCTCCTGGCTTCACTGCCAAGTTCAGCTCGCAACAGTCCGGCATCCAGTCGAGTTAACAGTCGAGCTGGAACTCCTGATATCACCGGCACTGGTAGTCAAGGCCGAACTGGTAAGCGTGGTCCGAAAGGAAACCGAGGCTCTAAGACCGGTCAGAAATCCAAGCCAGCCAGCCCGAAGGGCAGCGGTGACTCGCCAAAAACGCTAGCAAAGAGCTCTCCCTCGAGGAAATCCAAGCCCACAACAATGGCCGGTAGTATATGCCGGTCGTCGGAACAGCTGTCCTCGGTGGGCTCAGTATCCATGACAGCCAGGCCAGGCACGGACTCGGCCAGTGGCAGCCCTGCTGCTAAACGTAGGTATGCAGCAGCAGCAGCTGCCACCGGAGCAATACCAGTCACTTGCACTTCATCGTCTGCCCGTTCAGATGCACATCAGCCAATCGCCATGGTAACAGCGGCCGTGTGCACGTCAGCCGGTATCACGACGGCAACGCCGGCAACGCATATTGCCACTGCGGCCGCATCATCGGCCGTTGGGACCGCCATCGCGGCATCGCCACGCAAACAGCCGCACGCCAAGCCGCAGTCCATTGCCAAGGTTCTCGGCGGTGTCGGGCGGCAGAACCACCGGGCGCAGATTGCTTCCAACGTGAGCAAGCAGACGTACGCTGTGGGCACCGTGGCCGCTAATCTCGCAAGTGGCTCCTCGCCGTCGATAGCACTGTATGCTTTGCCCGCCACAGCTGCCGCTGCTGCTGCTGCTGCTGCTGCTGGTGGTGGTGGTGCTGCTGCTGGCGTTGTCGGCCAGGCTACTACCAATGTAGCGGGTACTGCTGGGGGACAGCAGGGTGCTGTCTCTAGTGCTCTCGCCGGCCACTCGCTACTCACCGCTCCTGTGCTCTACGCCGCCAACTCGCAGACGCTGTCCACGCTGCTGGGTAGTGCGGCGACTCCCCTGCTCCTTAAGCAGGCGGTGAAGACGTCGTTGGCCACCACAACCGCTGGCGCTGCTGCAAGCTATACAGCGGCAGCAGCGGCCGGCAATCCGTTGAAGAGCATGTTGCATGTCGTCAGTAGTAGCGAGGCAGCCAACGCTGACAGTGCGTCGCTTGCCACGGCGCTGGCCCGCGTGGCCAGCTCACTGGTGGCCGCCCAGCGACCCGGTCTGAGCAGCAACACACCGGCAGTGCGACCCGTCTCTAAGCCGGTCACAGCCTCCTCTCCCATCATGGCGACGACGGTCAATCCGACGCGCCTCTCGTCTACCTCGCTGTCGCCGTCGCTTGCCAGCAGCGATGCGGCCCTGCTGTCCGGCCAGCTCAAGCAGCTGTCTACTCTCTACGGGGCTGTAATGGCACCTGCCTTGCACAGTACAACAAAGCCTGCTGCTGCTGTTGCTGCGACACCAACAGCGGCGAGTATCACAAGTAACGTGGCGTCCTTGATGTCAAAGACGCCCAGGATGGCTGCCACCACCACTGTCAGTAGGTCTTTGCCTATGCCAGCAGCCACCGCCAAGGTTACAGCAACACCAGCAGCCACTGCCAAGGTTACAGCAACACCAGCAGCAGTAGCGGCGGCAGCGAAAGCCGTGAGCCTTCAAAGTACGAGCGTCCGACAAGTAGCCAGCGCTGCGAGCATTGGCACGGCGCCTACGCGGCTGGTTAGTGCCGCTGTCACGCAGGGTACCACCGGTGTGCGCATCGTGCCACGCACAACAGCAGTGCCGGCAGCAGTTCCAGCTGTGGCACGAGTTCTGCCAGCTCAGGCAGCCGCACGAGTAGTACAAGCTCCAGCAGCGTCGGCACCACCACGAGTACCGCAAGCAGCAGCTGTGGCATCACAGCGAGCACCACATGCAGCAGCTGTGGCATCACCACGAGTGCAACAAGCAGCAGCAGCACGAGTACCACAAGCAGCAGCAGCACGAGTACCACAAGCAGCAGCTGTGGCATCACCACGAGTGCAACAAGCAGCAGCAGCACGAGTACCACAAGCAGCAGCTGTGGCATCACCACGAGTGCAACAAGCAGCAGCAGCAGCACGAGTACCGCAAGCAGCAGCAGCACGATTACCACAAGCACCGCAAGCAGCAGTAGCAACAGCACGATTACCACAAGCACCGCAAGCAGCAGTAGCAACACCTGTACAAGCAACTCAAGCACCCACAGCAGTAGCACCACCACAAGCAGCAGCAACTGCAGCAGCACGCACACCACAGGTACCAACATCAGCAACTGCAGCAGCACGGACACCACAGGCAGCAACAGCAGCACCAACAGCTACAGCAGCAGCACCACCACCACCATTACCAACAGCTACAGCAGTCGCAACAGTAGGCACTGGAGTTGGCAGCATTCTGCCTGCTGCAAGCGCTGTCGTTACACCTACACAGACCACTAAGCCTCAGTGAAGATTGATTTTCTCAGGTTATCCTGCGTTGACATATCCGCCGACTACTCATTTCATTGTGCCGCAGAATACATAAACACTAGTAATAACTAGTATCCAGTATCCATACATACGTTGACTCCATGATAGGAACTCTGTTTTCCAAGATAGTCCTGCTCCGTCATATCTCATATACACTAGTTCGTATACCCTTTTCTTTTTTTACTCAAGTCTGGTATCGCCTTGGTCTGGTATCGCCTCGGTCTGGTATCGCCTCGGTCTGGTATCGCCTCAGTCTGGTATCGTCTCGGTCTGGTATCGCCTCAGTCTGGTATCGCCTCAGTCTGGTATCGTCTCGGTCTGGTATCGCCTCGGTCTGGTATCGCCTCAGTCTGGTATCGTCTCGGTCTGGTATCGCCTCGGTCTGGTATCGCCTCGGTCTGGTATTGCTTCAGTCTGGTATCGCCTCAGTCTGGTATCGCCTCAGTCTGGTATCTCCGAGCTATTCACAAAGCTCATTGATTCGCTGTAGGACCTTCTCATGTTTTTTGCTTTTATACTTCCGTAGATCCGAAGTCTGTTCCATGATTTTTGTACTTGTATTCACAAGTTTGATACAGCGACGCAGGCCGTCATTCCCCCTTTCGAGTCGTATGCGTGGTGCGCAAGATAATGTCCATGACTTTCGTGTTCACAAGTTTGATCCAGGAACATAGGCAGTCATTCCTTGATCCGAGTCGCATGTGTGGTGCACGATATTGTTATGTTATGCACCAAGGAGTAGTAAAGCTACGGTATTTTACTACTCCTTGGTGCATGTATTGGACTCCAGCGTGCCTTGATCGACATGCTCTCCATGGATCCAGAAGGAGTAGAATTATACCGGGTACATGTACTACTGCACACTCTAAGCCCATTGACTTCGCTGTCGGCAAGGTGTCGTTCATGACATGCTATGACTATCGTCAAGAGTCCATAACCGGGTTATGGACTCTTGCTATCGTTCATGTCTTCTCTGCGCTATAATTATGCGATCTCCGTATGACATAGTCCGCAAGGCACCGGGAAGTTGTGGGAAAGCCCCGTTTGTGTACACAACCTTGTGTGTGTGCACTGACTCTGTGCAGGTGTGACCAGTGGTGACTGAGTGAGTGACTTCACGAGCGCATGATTGCGTGAGACTGTAACCAGGATAATGCCATGGGCCGGTCAAGAGTACATGAACCCCCCCCCCCCCCCCGGTTTTCATGTACTCTTGGCCGGTGCACTGTAACCGGTTAACCAGGATAATGGGCCGGTGCACTGAGTCGGTAACCATGATGTCTAAGAAAACCCATAAATCTCTACCGTGGCATGGCAGTCAGACATCGCAACCGCACAGAATCCGTTTTTCACAAACGTGCTGTATGCGTATTCAACTCTGCTGGAATGTTTGCCAGCCACGTCGGTGCCAGGTTTCCTCCTCCCCTCTCCCCTCAACTGCTGCTTGCACGAGAGAGGTGCCCACTGAGATATGGAAGGTCTCTTATAAGCCTTAGAGATAGGTGACTGCCGGCACACATGCGGCATGATACCGAGGGTTATGCAGTGTTGCATGGTTGATTATAACTACAGTTGGCATACTGGTCCCGTAGATCTACCCTGTATGCAGTATACACTGTAGAAGTGGTTTAATATCAACATGATTATTAACATGATGGTAAGCAGCAGCATTCGCCCCTGTGCATGTACTGACTTTTGTTTATCAACCACCACACCACAACTGCGCCGCGGAGTCTCCAGCCGACCGTTACAGCTGTAGGAATTCAGTTACAACGGATGTGTGGCTTTGCTGGTGGTGTGCTGTGGCGACGTATCGAGGTCGGCTGGAGAGCGCAGTTGTGATGTTGTGGTTGATGAAACATTGATTATACTTTTTTTATAGCTGACATGTCTGTCGCTGCATTTCAGTGTCGTATACACTTCACAATGGTCCCCTCTAGCTCCATTCTGTATTCTCTTTAACAATAATCCCCTCTCCATTTTGTATTCTCTCCTCTCCCCATAAACTCTCACGGCGCGCAAGCTCGCGGCAACACCGAGACCATAGGTCAGCGTTGTGGCTTGCCTCACCAACACAGGTTACTTCTCGGAGCCCCTACTCTTCCCATTGTTGTGTTATCCTGCTACTTCTCTCCCTTCTTCTTACGAGTAGGTTGGGTCTTCAGTAACAAAAACAAAAAAAGCACAGGGGCTTACCTACCGTATTATTGCACCTGGTCATCTGATGGCCGGCGATCAATTGACCAGTGAAAGATGGAGCGGAGTGGCACCCAACCAGCAGGATTCCTGGTTGAATGATTCCCGGGCTCCGCCAGCTACAAGTACAGACTGTATAGAGACTCCATGCACCCAACCAATGGCTTATAGCTGGCCATGGTATCATTTCATTTCAGGTCATACTATTCTAACTGAACCGCATGGCTCTCTGCTTTGACAGTTTCTACCAACAACACAGTATCGATAATTATGATGTGTATGGTTTTTTTTTTTTTTTTTTTTTTACTATTGACACAGCCCTACTGGAAAACAGGTGGAGAACAAAAAAGAAACGAGGAAAAGGACAAAACATAGGGGATGTAGGGACGACGTGCTGATGTGCTGGGAGCAACTCAACCGACCAGAGGTCTCGGCGTCAGCGTTGCAACTAGGCATCGAAAAATGTGTGTGTGTGTGGGGGGGGGGGGGTTGCACAAGAACAACTGCAAAACAAACAGAAGCTAGAGAATACCACAAAATAACTTGGTGCGACTTAGCAGTTACTACAAGTAATTGAATTCGTAGTGTGTGTGTGTGTGTGTGTGTGTGTGTGTGTGTGTGTGTGTGTGTGTGTGTGTGTGTGTCTGTCTGTGTGTGCGTGCGTGTGTGTGTGTGTGTGTGGTTGTTCCGGTATAATTATATGCATCTGTTCGTAGTAAGCAAAGAACAAGGCCCAATCAATGGCATTCTCCATTACGGAGTAATAAGCAATATACTCCATTGGTAACCAAGGTAACCCAAGTACAGCAGCACTGGTCAGGGCATCTCGACCTCAGGAATGTTGAAGTATAGAGCCGCGTTCAAGTGCACAGACTCGTACTATTCGTGGTGCTATAGCATTTTATTCATGAGGTTGAAGTTCCCTCCCCAGTCCATTACTCATTAGGTCTACCACATGCAGCGGGGTGAGGTGTGGCAGCAGCGGAGGTGCATGGATAGGTAGTGGCAGGCAAGAGTGCATGCATGCAGAAACGCCTGTGCCGGGTCGAACTCAATCGTTGGCGTCTCAGCAGGTCACAACAATGCAACAAAACTCTACAGACAAGCGCGGCTAGCTTGAACACCAGCCACTGCACTGCCGGTATACACTACAAGACCATGCATGGTACGGTCTAAGCTGACCGGCTGCATGGCTATATAGGGTGTGTGCAAGCTTTGCGGCAGGGACTATGCACACAGTATTACATGCACATGTCATTCGTTTTGAGGCAGGGAACTCGTGCCCAGTATGCAGAGTCCAACCTAGCTGTTCACGTACCGCCATACTATTACTAGTAATTGGCTTTCAGCAGCCGCGGAACTAGCCAGGAGAGGAAGCCAATGACGTAAAGAACTGCCAGGACGCACAGCACGTCCACGAAATGCTCTTTCCACCAGGCGCGACACCGGTCGCTCCGACGCGATGACGCACCAGCCGCGCCGTCCCTCCTTGATGGGACCAGTGAGGTCGTAGAGCCGTATTGCGTGCCTTGCAACCGTCCGGACAAAATGCCGTTCAACGGTCTCAGTGGAAACTCGGTACAATCCTCGGTTGATTCTTCCAGTTGTCCAGCTCCGCGAGCCATGCCGTGGGATGGCAGCCCGATTCCTGATGTGCGCGGCGGAGTGTCGACATCACTGCCATCAGGCACGCAAACACGACCATGCAGCTTGAACTTTACCCGCTTGTCTCGCTTCGATGCGTCCGTCACACACGTATCGGGGACCGTCACATGGCCCGGAATGCCGACTTCGGCAGGTTGGCGCAACTGGCTGCCGGGCTCACTGCGAACTGGGACGCAAGTAGGGCAAGGCGTCACCTGTGTGGCAACTGTGTAGGATTGCCGACGATTGACATTGTACGTCAGGTTTTGGAGCGCCGAGGCAGAGTTGCCACGGATTAGCCGACAAACGCGGCCCTGACTGGATGCGGACGTGGCTTGGTGCGCGGGCAATGCGACGGCGTTGAGATTTGCGATCGTCGTGCCTGTGCCTGCATGCCTGTCGAGCATATTACTAGACGGTGGCGGCAGAAAGAAGAAGCTACCAGCCTGCGCCTGCGGGCATCCTTGCGACGCGTGGAGCGTTTCCTTCCGTCCTCCGGCTCCATCGCCTCGATCCACCGCCCGTTCATCTGGGCAATAACTTTCAGCACAGAAATCCGTCTCCATGTTTTCCATGGAAACCCACTACAGTAGTATACTGCACTGGTGCAGTGGTGGTGTACTGGACACAGGGACGTTGCGAGTTCAAAGATTCCAAGGATCAAGAAAGCCTCGGTATAATTTCAAGACCGTGCTGACTTGTAACTACCATCAAGGTCATTCGGGATAAGAGAGATGTGAATAAAATATCAACGTCTTCTGCACAGGAATACTATTTGAGGAATGGAAGAATTGGAGAAGGTGTTAGATAGTAAGTAAAAAGTAAGTAAAGATTGCACGTCCGCGTTACCACCGGCTATAAATTGCGTTGAGAAACACACAACCAGCTTAGGAAGTTTCGCATGTTAGATAGTAGGTAAGTAATATACACTGAGGCAGAGTTGCTCATGACAAATGTGCGAATGAAAGCATGGAACATTGTTATTGCGTTGGTGTGTGTGACTGGGAATTCACAGTCGCTCTCATAGTTATACCCCTTCACCTTGCATTCACCAAACCAGACTGCATGTACTTTTTAAACGCAGGTAGAGCTGCTATACAACACGGTCAGCAGGGAAGCTCAGTACTCGCTGAGAACCTTGGCGCTGTACATGTTCTTTGATGAGTAGGACCAACACGGTCACAGACCTCTCTTGCCTTGGTGGAATATCGCACGCAAAGTGCTAAGCTCCAACCAGCTGAATCATGCGCATGCCCGCTACTTTTTGTAGTTTGAGCACTCTGGCGCTAGAGCGACGAGCTATCTTAATGTCTGTGGTGCCTCCTTTGCACCATGGCTAGTAGCTCGGCCTACTTAGCTCGTAGCTGTACTGGTGAGGCCTTTATGGCCGAAACAGCTTGCTGTCTACAGCATTGGGAATGTATGAGTAAAGAGTTGGAGGCATACCTCACAGCTGATACAGTGATAGCGCTAATAGTAAGACAAACACGTTACGTCATGTATGCACCTGCTGACTCGTATTGACTGGTTTCACATCTATCACATGACCGAAGGGGACAGCCATGTTGGTTTCAACTCCACTCAATCCCTGCATATATAGGTCACATGATGTCGGCCATGTTGGTTCCACTGTACACAGGACATGATCACTGTGGGCACACATGACACTGTAGTCACAATCACATTACCAAGATGTGAACACCACTCTATTGCAGCACACCGGCAGTATCGGTGTAAATTGCATGCTGTAACCAAGAGTACATATCCCCCTGTGGGGGGGGGTTATGCACTCTTAGCATAACCGTGCTCCTACTCTACAGCTATGCCAGCATGGGAATAACGATAGTCTTGAGCTGCATGTAGTGATATCCATGACTGCGAGCACACAGTGTACTGTAGAACTAGAGGATCTAGCAAGGAATACGCTCGTGTACTTGTTGCACTTGCTACAGTGTGGTCAGTGATCAGTGCCCAGGTAAGTATTAGCAAGAGTACCTAACGGGGGGGGGGGGGGGGGGGGGAAGGGGTTATAATTATCCTCTTGGCATTAGTTATAGTGCCCAGGCCAGGAGGCAGTGTACCAGGTGTACTGTCCTGCCATGGTCAAATCTGTAGCAAGTGCAGTACAACTACACCAAGACAGGCAAGAGGTGTCGCCAGATCTAGACATGTAGATCATCAGATGTACTCAGTCGACGAGTCACCATGGTCGTGGATTCCACACCTCGCAGGTGACGTCCAGCCCACAGACAGCTGGGCCCATATGTCCAGTCCACTGCCGGAATAACTGTTACTTTGTTCACTATCCATAATTATGCCCAGTCCACGGCGGGAATAACAAGGCTTCAACTGTTACTGACTGCACTTAGGACACTATCAAGAGTGTAACCTCCCTCTTGATACTATCATACTGGTTTAGTATCTGCTGCCGTAGCCCTACATAACATGCGCCCCACACTCTATAGTACCTCTGACCGTAAGATATCTACTTCGTCAAAGTTACAATATACCATGATCTACCATGGTGTACTAATGTCAGTAGTAATGGGCACTGACCGTGAATGATGACTGATGGTGTCGACATGCGGCCGTGTTCATGGTGTTGGACTGAGCACTGAATGATCTGTCCATACAAGCGCAATGCTACATGTACTAATAGTCTATGACAATTATTATTATTATGTGTCCGCTGAACTGCAGGACTGTACTTGCTGAAGCCTGGATTGATTGATTCGACTCCGAGGTGGTGAAAACCGCGTGTAATAATACACAATCATGTACATGTAGTTACTTACTGA